AATTCCTTCTTCGGTACATTCATGATGCCTCCGACCATCGGTCGCGTGGTTGCACACTTTTTTCAGCCTTGATTATACCCAAATATGGGTGTGTCACATTTTTTTTGTCTCATTAACTTAATAGTGTGCCAGAGCTTAATACTGATAAACTTCATTAATAATTACAGGACAGTTTTATGCAACTATTGAAGCTGTTTGTAAATATAATGAATGGTTTAAATTAAATGAAAGTGGAATCGTTAATTAATATTCTATAAACATAATGTGAACATAATTCTAATGACATAATGTGCATTTATTCTTAAAAGTATACTGTCTGGGGTAAAGAAAAATAAATGTTAAAAAACAATTCAATTAAAATATTTAAAAAGACCAGATTCATTTATATCAACATCAGTGGAAAACAATTTATATGATTTCATAAAAGGTGGTATTTATTTGTTGATTGATGAGGAAAATTGAATTGAATGAGACAGATCAATATACCTCAGTATTTATTTGCAGAATTTTCACTACAAACGTTTTTAAATTGATTTTAATTTATGTATCTGTTAAATGACGAGGTAAACATATATAATCCACCCTCCTATATAGTTTGGGGCTTGAAAATGTGATGTCATCTTGGGGTTTGTTCTCAACTTCAGAGTTAGCTTTGTGTTAAATTGAATTGGAGTGGTCTCGGAATTAGATAAGTCTCGGAATTAGATGAGCCTTGAGTTAGAAGTTGAACTGTAACTTAATTGAAGTACACTACAGTATGTAGTGAACTTTTAAATTTAATTTTCTGGGTTTTTTTTTTAGCTTAACACAGGCAGTTTATCTTTTTAATGCTTTATCTAAATTATTGATCTGCATTTCCATGTGCATGCTGTTGCCATGGTAACATTCTAACACCCTTGCTCGTGTGTATTTTAATGCTTTATGTGCTTGTTAATACCTCACTTGCATGATTACTACAGGAGTGGGTTGACGCATCTGAAAACCCTCTGGAATGTGAATACCCAACCCCGACACCTTCTCCGGCCTTGTCGGAGTCGCCGTTTGTGTCTCCATCGTTCTCGCCTTCAGGGTCACTGAAGGAGCTGGACGTTGAAGATGCTGTGTTGGTGTTGGGTGTTACTAACGATCACGAAGAGGTGGATTTGGCAGAGGTGGTTGCTAACACGCCAGAACCTGAACTCTGGATTCCTATCGCTGAGGATGAGCCTAATTTGAATGTGTGTCTGGTTTTTGATTTCTTTGTGTATCTCTGTTTACAAAAATAGAAAGTGATGTCCAAATTTTTTTTTTATTATTCTTATCAAAAAGTGCCTAGCAATGCAATTTATAGCAATGTGACTTTAATTCATAAATACAATGTTCAAAAATTCAGCAAACAAGTTCAGTGAAAAAAGGTTACATAATTCTAGAATATTTACTGGAAGACTGAATGAACATTTTCTATTTTTGGAAACATGTGATTGTAATGTTTTAGTTGTTTTAATGTTGTGAAGTAGATAATATTGAAGCCCCATGGTGCCTTATGGTCAGTTGGTACCTTGACCATTTGATTAAAAGTAGCAGCTAGGCAACTATGCAAACCCCATATTGACTTGCCTAATATTTAGTGTGGCAGTTCCTGTTAACGTCATAAATTTTAATTATATATTCATAATTCTTAGAAATGGAGATAGGATGAACATGCTATTTATATGATTGGCTTAGAGGCAGATTCACTAGTCGAGCCCTTTAGATGAGCAAAGTCTACCAGAAAAGATTACTAGAGGATCATCTTAATGGAAATAAGAAGATCAGCCCACTGAATATAACAAAAAAATAAGCCTGCTACACAATTATATGACCTAGTACGCAAGGCCTATCAAAAATCTTAGCTAGATTCAGACTACTAATTTCATGTCGGCAATTGCCTACCATATTGCCGAGCCAGAATTGCTACAGGACGGCAATTTTTTGCCGACCTAGGCCTAGATTTATTTGCTTCAAAAACTGCTTGGAAAGTCAAAAACTTAGACTGAACAGGCTATAGCAGACACTAAATTTTATGTACGTCGTCAAACCAAGCAAATTGGTGGTTCATAAAACAGATTTGTTCGTACAATAACTATTTCTAATAGGCATGCAATACGTACATTTTGTGTACAATCGTCTTGTCTTTCTCGCCTAGTCGTTTCGTAGGCTAGGCCTAGGTAGGAATGACGCTAGCCAGCCAAGGCCTACAACATCGCCCAATTGAAGCCATGTGGGCCGCGTAGATCGTAATGCTTATCTATATCTATTATTTGTCTTCATTTTACAGTATTATTATCATATTTAAATTGTTGTTTACCATCTAAAAACAAAAAAATTCAACATATTGTAGGACTAATCCTACCGTCTGTTTAAATGCAATCACGATCGTATCGCGACTTGACTACTGACAAGTACTGTACATGTGTGGAAAATCCCTGATAGATCATTCTGGGCATGCGCATGGACATGAATGGGCAGTTTTGAAGCAGCCTGTGATGATACGATCGTAGCTTTTACGAAAGTGATATTTCCCATGCCAAAGGTAATGATAAAACAAACGCTAAAACGAAATTTATTCAGCGATTTTCTTATGTAAAACATATGTACTATACTACACTATTAAATTATACAAGTATGACTATTCTTTCACCGGCAATATATTGATTTTATAGAGAAATTAACAAAATCACAATCTGTAAATGACTATGTCGAGCGTTCGGAGAAATCGTAGTTTATACTATATGCCTAGGTAGTAAAAAATTGCCGAGGCTGCCGACCTCGGAGAATTTAAGGTTGACAAATTTTTGCCGACCTAATTTTTTCCAAATTTCGTGGGCTGTAGATTAATACACAAAACATTAAGAATTACTGTGCTATGACATGACATGAACACATGAACTGCCACTCTAATATCAGCATCTCCTTTTGAGAGGTCTTCACAAAAATCTGCACAAAAAATAACAATATTTTCTGTACACTACTAATATGGAATGAATACTTAACCAGCCAGAACATTCGGTCTGTGCATTATCATGCTAATATTTGCTATGTCTTATGATAATTAACATTGAATGGTTTGTTCAATTCAAATAGTTTGTAATATTGATAAAAATAGTGATATTACATTGTTTATCATGCACATAACTCATCCCTTACTACATTAGTTGGTGGTGCATGAAGAATCACTGTTATTTCTTTTAGCATGATTATGCCATTATATCCTCGATGTAAATGTTGTACATTCAGATCTTAATTGAAATGTTGAATAAAATCTATCGATGGATTTGTCTAATTTTAACTCGTAGCAGCAACAGAATTCTATACCCTCTGTGGCTGCAAGCATGGCTGTTAAGAAGGAGAAGGCAGTTGCTGTCAAATCTGAAGCAGCCGCAGATCAATCTCCAAAGATGATACCTTTAGCTTCCGCCAGCAGCCTTCGTCGAGAGAGCTCTGTCCTTCCTGGATTTTTGGAGAATAGCATCATCTTAAAGAAAGGCAATGCCGGCTTAGGTGAGTGGATATATTATAATAATTAAATTCAAGTAAGATGAAGATTATTTAATTAGACATACTAATTTTATATAATTTTGAGATTAGTATTAGTTCATTGTTACAGCAAATGTTTTACAGATGCACTTTTAATGGTATGTATACTAAATAGAAAGTAAAGAAAAAATAGTTTCTGCATCACATCTCAAGCCAATTATAGACTGACATAGCAAATTAGAGTCAAATGACCTAACTTGGATAAACAATACATTCCTGGTGCAACAGTTCATTAGCTATAGCTACTGCAAGTTGTTTGGTGTTAAATAATATCAGTTGGAATGCCCTGGGTCCGGTTGATAGATAGTCTTCTTGGATAAGGAATTAAAACTGGTGGTCCGGTGTGCACATCCCCATTGCATCTTTCGGAAGAGTAGGGGTTACCCTGATGTTATGGTTCATTTCAGCCCCAGTCATTATCCTCAGTCATTATGCAGTGATGTGAAAGTGAACCTACTAAGCGGCTCTCTATGGCTGCTACATTCACGGACCATGCCGTGGCGCATACACGATTCTGCACAATGATGCTCCAAGTTATTGAATATTCTTCTACCTCTACCCACTTTTTATATTTCAATACTGAGTTACTAGTAGTGATTTTTAACAACAAAGTAATTTCTTGTACATTTGCTTTTACAAGACCAATAAAAGTTCTGCATGCTGTAAATTGACAAGTAAATATCTTACTAACAAGAAACATTTTATACTTAAAAGATGCCAATTACCTCCTTGACTATAATCAGTTTATTGAAATATACATATATTGAAAAATGTATAACTATTACCCTAATTAACATTTGTGTTTGCAATTGCTTATTACTGTATAAAGACAAATATTATAATTTATTTCTTTCTTGATTTCTGTTTCTTTCGTTACTTTTGATTTAATTTTTCCGCTGTCCATTAGGCCTTGTTGTTGAACGTGACAGAGGTAACTGCAGTGTACCCAATGTATTTTTTCTTTTCTGTTGTTTTACTTTCATTCTTTTTCATTCTTTTTTCCAATACTTTTATTAAAATTAAACATTGCAAAATTATTAGATAAGGTAGCTATCAGAATTTAACAAAATTGTCCAAAGGAATAATCATTTTAAAGAGTAATCTTTCGTCTGTGTTTCTGTTTATCCTCTTGGATACTGATTTCTAATGTTGCTCTTCGATGATTACTAACAACATTCTGATTATAAAAATTGATGTTCAGCCTTACACTTATTATTATAGGAGCATGCCTTAGGTTAACTATAGAGTATTAATAATTAGGTTGATCAATTTTATTAACAGTGTTGTTTATTATTACTATTATTGTTTTTGTTTGTACTGTTATCTATTAATACCGTTGTTTTATTAATGTTATTATTTCTATATCTATGTGTAGTGCAGTTGACTACTCAAATTTGTTATAGAAATATGCCATTTAGTACCCATAATACATTATTATATAATCCTCTAAAAATGTTTTGTTGGATAAATTGCTTGTAGATAATTTAGACTTAATTCATGAAATACTGTAAATTCATTATTTGTGCAAGTTTTTGCATGTGTGTATGACATTTTCTCTTTCTGTTACCAAAATGTCTAATTTCCCTATTATCTTTGTTGTTAGCATTGTGCTTGTTGCTCTGCTTTTAACTTATATTTCCAAAATTTTGTTTTCAAACTTTTGTATGATTTATTAGTTTCTGGCTTATTTTGTACTTTATTTTTGTATGTTTAGATTTTGTGTGAATTTTGGCATGAGTAACGGTTAGATGAAACCTTGGGCTAGTATTTTTCTTACGTGGGGCTAGTGGTCACATGGGCTAGTCGTCACATGGGCATTTCAAATTATTTGGCACATAACATTTTATATTTTAGTGTGTACAAAGCTTTACATGGTAATGTCATAGTAGTGTTGTGTCTCTTAGATGTGTACATGTAAATCTGTGTGCATTATCTCACAGCTAATCAGGGATAGGCAAATAAGGAATTTTACATTTTCAGGAGACAGGAGGATTATAATTGGCTCAAAATGTATCATAACTCATGAGAGAGTGACTTCAAGTGTGATTTTCCAATTGACAGATTTGTGGATTTAAGTTGTCATTTTCTTTTCATTCCAACTGCAAATTTGTCATTTTGATTCTTTTTATCGTTAAATTTAGGACTGACTGTCAATGCAGATAAGAGCAATGGCGTCATAGTCAAGAGCATAATCCGTGGAGGGATCGTTCATCAGGATGGACGTATTGGCATTGGAGATTACATCACAGCTGTCAATGGTGAAAGCATGCGTAACCTCAACAATGCCACCGCAAGGAGCGTCCTGAGAAAATGCTCAATGGCTGGCAACGACATCAGGTACTGATTGCTTTTTATCTTGGTGTGAAGTTGAGCAAGCAATTTGGAGATGAAAATGTATTACTTGCATTAAAATATACGATTGACAGTAAAAATATGCTCGTCAGTTGGGTTGCAGTGGAGTGGAAGAGGGTCTTGGGCCTCCTTGTTAATTAATGTTAATATCAGTTTAATTCTGATTTTGTTTCATTGTGTGTGTTTCATTGCATTGTAGACCTAGCAATTTCCTCAAAGAATTTCATTTGTTCCATAAGAATAGTAGGAAAACTATCTGTTTTGTTGAACCAATTAGTTGCTTACCTTATCAATGTTTTCAGCAACTGTTTCAGTCTCCTTTAAGTTATTGGTTCAATTAAACAGAACATTTTTCTACTATAGCAATTTCCACCCTCTCCCCCCCCCCCCCAAAAAGTGATGCTAAAAATTAATTTATATTGTTAAGGAAAATTGTGATGAAATCCTCGAGTCAGACTTTTATCTTAGAACTGATATTATTTCACTTCCTGTTACCTACAGTATAAACTATATATCTGCCAGTGATGCAACTGCATTTAGAAACAATCCTGGAGCATTTCCCGTCGCTGCTGAACAACGGCCAGTTGATGAAGTTGATACCGGGACGATAGAATTCGCAAAACCTATCACAACAATTGAAACTGAAACGGTGAAAGTTGCAGCGCTTACTTCTTCACAGTCACCAGCACCATCGAGGCGGCAGACTGGAGATGCAGCTGCCAAGGCTGATATACCACCTCCACGGATGGTGGAGCTCCTTAAGGAACCGAACAAAAGTCTTGGAATTAGTATCATTGGAGGTGAGAATAAAGACCTTACCTCAGTGTTTAGCTTTTGTCTTCCATAGGCATTTTCTCTAATGACTGAGGTTATTGTGAAGTGCCTTTAGGCTCTGGTATTTGCTAAAGAAGAACCAAGGAGCTATGCTCATCGCAGATCCTCTACTTTGTGCTTTCATTTTAACCTTTTAATATTTATTATTTTATTGCTACTATTATCAATCATACTGTATTGGTACAAATAGTGAGAACACTCACTAGTTGATCTTTCTGTCGTTAAAGGACGTACAGCTGAGCAGCAAGGTATATATATCAAACACATTCTTGAGGGTAGTCCAGCTGGCAGGAATGGCACTCTTAAGACAGGGGACAGAATATTACAGGTAATCAAAATTTGCACTTTTTTTTATATTAGTCAAGGAGTGGGAATGTGGATTAGTTGTTAAATCAGGGGATGATTTAGGTGGGGCTGGGCCGGCCCCGGTTTCCCTCCCCCCTCTTTTGGAGTTAAAAAAAAAGGGGGAACGCCTCAAGTTATTTTCGGGCGTTTAGAACACAACAATTTCGTGGGGGCATTCCCCCGGACCCCTTAGGACAGTGTTGTCTTGATCGGCCCAACTTTCAGCCCCTGCTTTTGCCCCCTCCCCCTTTTGGACATCTCTGGATCTGCCCCTGGGTAAATCACTTGGCCTGGGTTCAAATTTTGAAATTTAAGGATATTTATATTTAAAATTTTCATATTTGAATTACTTACGTTTCAACCAATCACATCCCAACCAGCAGTTTCATTAAATATGCATACAAAATAAGATGAGTAACTTATAAAGCATTTATTTTGGACACTGTAGAAGATGAAAGATTTAGGAGGCTTTATTTTCTTCAAAAATTGTCTGAAGCCCTGTGGCATATTCCTTGGGATTCTATTTTAACTGTTATTGCATATTAATCCTTTTTATGTGATGTATTCATAAATGTATATTCCTAGTTAGTATTCAATACATTGTCAACTATATTGGTTGGAATTTATGTATAAACTAATTTTCTTTGTAAATTCAAAAATTCAAGGGTATTGATATAACAATATTGAAAACTTAAAACTTCTGTATTTATTTAAATGTGTCATATATTTGATCATTGATATTTAGTAATTGTTTTCCATTACATCTTCTATGTTTTTATTATATCATTTTTTTGTGAAGGAAATAAATTCATTCTGGATTCAATAGTATATTAAATCATTTTTTTGTTGTCAGAGGAGCTAACTCTAAACTAATCTGAGTGTTTTGAACAAATACCAAATAGTAATGTGTGACCTTAACAATGAGAACAACATGTTCCTGAGGGCAGCATACATATGAAGCTGTCTAACATGACATTATAATTTGAGTGTTTTCAAAGCCTTGGGTTTCTATTTAGATTTTGTCTTGCTTTGTCCATATGTTTTAGCTACAGTACTGAATTAAGATTAAATGTGATGCACTAAAGCTACTTGCCCTGTCATTCCCTCAGTGCCCTGACAAATTATTACCAACTTGCTCAGTATAATCAATGTGCATTGTAACAGGATGGTATGCCAGTATCCTGACAGTATAATTTTCTCAAAATATTGCTACAGTATTTTTCTCTCATTCTAATCCCTTCTCTTTCCTTTTAATCCCTTCTTTCTTCTAATTCCTTCATCTAATCCTTCCATATAATATCTTTAGAATATTTTAATTCTTTATAAGTCCTCATTTGATTCTTTCAAATTCCTTCTAATACTTCTGTTTAATTCCTTATAATACCTACATCTAATCCCTTTTTCTAATCCTTCTAAAATCTCATCATATCCCTTTTAATTAATCTTATCTCTTTTTCATAGTAATCTTTCACATCTATCTCTCTAATCCTTCCTTTTAATCTTATATATTTATTCAAATCTAACATTGTGTTGTTGTACACAAGGTGAATGGTATCGACCTTCGAAGTGCTACTCATGAAGAAGCAGTGGACATCATACGGAAAACATCCAATCCGGTGCAATTCCTTATCCAGAGTCTACCAGCTGGGGTAAGACTCCGTTACACTTATCAATCGGTCAAATCTTGACCACTATCCATTTAATATTACTTTTTGTTACACCATGCAAGTCATAATATGTAATCGGTGTAAGTCATGGGGGGTGTAATGTGATATCAATGAGTGGTGTAATGTGTATATACAGTATCATGGTAATGAAATACTTTACAGTACTCTATATCTTTTTGGGGTGGTGTATTGTGTATAATATCATTGGGTGATTTAATGTTCTGGAGCTCACATCCTTTGGTATATTGCTGGAACATTTTAATCAAACACATTTTGATTACAAAGCTTTTTAACATAATTACAATAAGGCTATCGTAGCTTGTGCAGTAATGAATTTGAGTCCTAATTTATTCGAGCCACCTACTCACTGTCTGAAATCAATAATTATGTTGCATTCTCTTTAGCACAATGTAAATAAGTGCTGGGGGACAGATCCAATTGGTGAACAAGAGGTACCATCATTCCAACTGGGGTTATAATTTGGAAAAGAGATCTGACACTTGTGTAGAACCTTCTACTGTAAATACATACATATTATCACTGGGAAGGGAGGCAGCAATTTGAAACTTATTTTTTAATTGTATAGCAGAGAGAGGGCATTCTTCGTACCCACTCCTCTCTGGATCCAACACTGGTTAGTCAAAACCACAATGACATACTGTATAGTGTAACATAATGGCTGTTATTTAATCACATAAAGAATGCTGTCTGAATTTATTCACATGGGTCAGCCTGGGGTCAAACTGATGTTGCATCCTTTTATGGAATAATTAAACTATACATTTGAAGATATGATGAATGCACTGCACTTTAGATGAGTGTGTTGGCAGTCCAAGAGCAATAAGCAGATGGTCTTTAGTTGTCAGATGGCTATCAAAATAATTATGTGGTAAATCACGTAACCTGTAACTTCAATGTGATTTTAAATATATTCATCTTAAGTCCAAAATTTATGATATACATAAAATTTTATTACTTTTAAAACTACCTAATTTTTTAATTGAATTCTTTAGGTTTTTATATAATTCACCACACATACTTTTTGAGGTTGGTTCTTTTGACAATGGAGCAGTGGCATATCTACAGGGGTGCACTGGGGGGGGGGGGTTGGTCGAACATCTCCCTCCAAAAAAAATGTCTACCTGTCCCTAGTCATCCTCACTGAAATTTATTGAAGCAAGAAAAAATTAGGCTCAAGTAGTTAAAAATCGTCTCATCACCTTTTTTAGCCATTTATTGTTCCCCCTCACCTAATCATCGGGCCCTCCCACTTCATTTTCTTGCCTCCTTTTGGCCTCTCCCCATTTTAATACTCCTAGATATAACACTAACTTGAAGTGCAGCTGCTTTTAAAAATTGGTACAAATGCATTTTTAAAGTCTACTTGCAGCATGTCTAATTGATTAAGCTGTAGCTGTAATATTCTTGAATTCCTTTGCTGGGTTATTTTATTTGATATTCTGTTGTATATAAGCTGTTGAACAGATCACTCTAAGACAAGCCAGGAGTTTTACAGTAAATCAATCAATTTTAATGTCAGTTTTTTTTTTAATTAAATTTTTTATTATTAAATTCTCCAATGAGTAGAATGCTTGGAATAATATCAATCCTAGTAATTGATTGATTGATTGATTGATTAATAACATAGTTTTCCGTACTTTAGTTTAGCACTAGACCCACCCACTACACTCTGACCCAATCCACTATCTGAGTACTGTACCTGTCCTGCTTAACACACTGCTGGACCTTACCCTTGTCTTGTTTGATTATAAAAAAAGAAAAAAAAAAATCACAATTTTTTACATACTCTGCTTTTCACAATCAATGATTTTGTAGATAATTTATATGTTAAAAAAAATTTTTTTTTTTCATTTATATATTTATGCAAATAATACGTTTACTATTTATTCAGATTATTGATACATTAATTTATTTTCTGATTTGGCATTCAAAAAGCTAATCATTTCTTATCTATGAAGCCTCTCACTATAATTACTTGAATTAAAAAAATGTAAACAATACATTAAAAATTATGTTAAATTAGATTTAAAATGTAAATTGCTGGTTTTCTAGGCTTACTTTGATTTCTTATTTACGTTAATAACTTATACCTTCATTTTTTTAAATTAATCACCCATTTTTAGTAAAATATCTGTAGATTGAATCTGTCTTTATTATTTGTATCATATTTAGTTCCTAAGTAACAGATTTTAAATTAATTTTCCATAAGTTTTAGGTTTTGTATGCAAATTAATTATTTTGTATCAGCTTTTACAGCTAACATGTCAATAAATGGTTTAAATATGTACATTAATTTGGCAATTGTAGATTTTCATTAAACTCTCTAACATAATTTTGTATATTTGGTTTGTCTTGCTTTCAATTTTAAAGAATTATGAGTATTTCTTATGTTTTTTTTCTTTGTTACTTTGCTTGTTACAGTTTATTAACACCATTTTATTGCTTTCTTGTTTCATCTGGTTCTTTATTGTCCAACTGGCTAAAATATTCTTGTTAGATTTATCTTGGTCAAATATGACATTAATTCAACTACCTTTGGCAATTGTTATTTTATTACAAAACTAAAGTATGCTATTAATAACGATGGATCATATACAAGGAGCAAGAACATTTAATAAAATGAGAAATTTGTGACACCGAAAGACAGTAGAGTATTTTAACCCCACCAAGTAAATTCACTACAATATGTATTGTAAATTTTACTAAGAACAATATGACAAATAAGTATTTAAATTTTAAAAAAATCAGTTTTATTGATCATAAATTTTATCAATTGATAATTTGATAATATGCAATATTAAAATTGGGTTTATTTGTATATTCTTTCAAATTGTTATTTGAGGATTTATCTCTGATTTTGAAATCAATAATGATAAAAAAAATAAATACACTTAAGTTTTAAGCCCACATAATTGGTAGTAGGGTATCAACAGAAACAAACCACATACACTTGTACACACACACACTCCCACACCCACACACGGACAGTCAGTCATATAATATCATTAGGAGTCTGGTAAATCCACATCCTCTCGCCCAGTGATGTTGTTTAAGCAAGTAGACTAGACCACCAATGGAAACAGTAATATATCCACATATGTAAACCCCATACACACACACAAACAAACAGCCGGTTCCATAATATCCTTGAGTCTGGTAAATCCACGTCTTCTCACCCAGTGATGTTGACTGAGCAAATGTAGACTAGAACCACTACTGGAAACAGTAGTATATCAACAGAATTAAACCACATACTCTTACACACACACAAATATCCGGTCCCATAATATCCTTAGTCTGGTATCTGCATCCTCTGTCCTGGTCCCCTTAGTTCATTCACCATGCTATCTTTTCTATGCCAAAATGACGACTGAGCAAGTGTAGACTAGACCTCCACTGGATGCTGTGAACAGGGATGATACACAGTCTTGAGTAGTGGTGGTGAGTGGGCTAGTCTTCTTCTACATTATACTGCATCTATCTGCTTTTTAGCTTTTGGTTACTTAGGTGTCTAGTTTTAATGCTTTACCTGCATGTGTACTATGGAGCTGTCCTAACTTTATAGATTGACTGTCTTAATGTATTATTGTATCAAGTTTTTAATAAATCTCCTAACTGCATGTTTTTTTCCTTATGGTTCATTATTTTTGGGTAAAAACTTGTATTTTTTACTTTTTTCTTGTTAGAAATTTTGTTAAATAATAATGTATATTTATGTTTAAGTTCCCTCATTGGTTTGGTCTCAGCAAAATATCCTTTTCTATTATTACACAACAGTGCCACTTTCATTTTTATACCACGTTAAGCACTACAAATACAATGTCTTTAATATACGTATTCTTCTAATTGCTATGATAATGGTAATGTGTGTGTGTGACCTTATGACAAAATATAATATTAATGCGTGTATATTGATACGTGCATATTAATGCATGCATAATGATATGTACATAGTAATATATGCATAATGATGTGTGCATAATTATCATTATAAGTCAATCGTGACGTCATCACTGCAACTCAGCTTGATTTTTTTTAGGTTCGTGTGCAAAAAAAAAATTCCTCATTTTTTCGTCACCAACCGCGAAGACATTGCGCACCGCGATAAAAATTGAATTGTAATTAAAAATTACTTTCGTAAAACAAGCTTAATTAGAACCCGAAGAAAGTTACTTCAAATTCAATATTAAGTATGAACAATTAAGGAATTCATTGAATCAGTGGACCCTCATAAACACAACAAACTGAATGTTTAATAGGAATATTCTAGACCTATTTTAACGACTCAAGGAACAAATTTAGATGTAGGCCTACGGCCAGGCAGGAGACCACCCAGGCCTCCTCCTACTACTACTAGGCCGTAGCCTAGCCTAGTTATGAAATCATTGCACGATTTTACATGTCTGCATGCACCGACCAAAAAGGACGTCAGTGACTATTCTCTCTCGAATGCTGAAATGTTTATTTCTTTGACGAAAGTCTATCAAAATAGCATTACAAACAAGTTCTTTCTAACACAATACAAATTACAACAGTTATTCATCGTATCCATACTGTACTGCGATGTGTAGTTAAATGCGTACTGCAGGAGCAAAAATCAGCATATGCACAGCTAAATGTAAATATGTACACGTATACTGATCATATCACAATAGCGACCGATGACTGCTACAACAGTTGGTTATAAAAAACTAAAATTAAAAGACTGTGATTGACTTATAAAGCAATTCGTAGAAGATGTATCGTACACTAAATGTAAAATGATTATACTTAGGTTAGATTTAATGCATTCAAAAATTTCCTTCGGGCCTTGCAGGCCCTCAGGAAATTTTTTCAAACATTAAATCTAACCTTCGTATAATAATTTTCCTATAGTGTACTATGCGGAGCTCTACTAATTGCTTATTAGTGCATAATGATACATGCATATTAATATGTCCATAATAATAAAAATGTGTAATAATGTGTGAACTGTAATATATGCATATTCATGCATAATAATTATGTTTAATGTTATCATAGGCAGTGGGCTTATACATGAGAACCAGAAAGGCATAGTTGCCAACTTATACGGATTGACCGTGAGACTCACGGATAATTTATCATTTACCAGTTTTACTACGGGTGAACAAAAACTCACAGATTTCAAGGTTACTCATGGATCAACATTTTTAAACTAAGAAACAATGATTTTGCGAACTGCATATAGTAATATGCAATAAATAGATCATTTGCCATTCGTCTGTAGTGTTTATAGTGTAGCAAAGATTAACCCTAGGCTATGTGCAAGTCCAGTGCGCTTGGCATTAGAATCGTAAACAAACGAAACCATTTAAGCCCGCTACCGTCAGTGTGCTTTTATTACCCAGTAATGCACCACGCATAGTTGGTTTGCTTGTTTATCTGTTTTACACATGAAAGTATTGTTTGTACATCTTGATTCATGAATAAAGTGAGTTTGTAAAAATTGTTTTAATTTTACACCAAGCAACTGTCGGGTACTCATTCAAAGTTTACACTTACTGTGCTTTGGTCAAGTTTTTGGTTTTATTAAGTTTACATACATAGGCCTACACTTAACTTAATTTAGTGTCTAAGATCAATCAAATCAGTAGTGAAAATCAAGCTTATCAACCTTGGCCCTCGGGGCCCCTGGCCCCAAGCCAGTGGCATGTTGCTACGCATCGCGAGTTCTCACTGATTTCTTTTTTGAAAAGTTGGCAACTATGGAAAGGTAGCAGCATACTCCTCAGAGAAGGTCACAGCTAAGCCTAGCCAACAGTTTGACGTGAAACATGAATGTAAAGGACTCATAATTTAAAATTTTCCTTCCAAATGTCTAAAGTTGAAGGGTGACCTATTAGCTGATTTGTGTGTAAAGCATAAAAATATGTAGAGGGTGGGCTGATACTAAAGGACTATGGAATTTACATCTGTATAATTATACATGAATATTGATGCACTTGGAAAATGGTATGTGTATATAACGATGTAGGTGTAAAATGGTGCATGTGTTACTATAATATAGTAATATGTTCATTATGATACATGGATATTGTACAGTGATATGAGCATATATTATAGTGCAGTGCATATTTTATGTTTAATTTATTTTGTTAACGATATAACACACATTTTTTAATCAGCAGTTTGCCATCCTCCTTCTAATTTTATTATTAAAATGATAAATTCAAGTTGAACTTTAAAATCTACAAATAAATTCAAACACAGAATATGTTTTTTATAGAATAATACCTTCTGTATTAAATATAAAGACTTGAATACAATCTAAATTCAAATTTTCAGCACACTGTACCAAGGTACACATATATTTCTGTAATGCTTTTGAATACAGGGATATTATTAATTGCATTGTATAACTGTAGGCGATGTATTCAGTATTGATATGTAGATACATATTCCGTGTCTTGCCTACTCACAGCCAGTATTATAATGTGGCCATACAATCAGCAGGCATTGGTGAAAAACTTGAAACTTGGGATAACCTTACGAGGGCGAGCATTCTTTGTTGAAGATAAATCTATGACGTTAGAGAAGTCTGGAGAGGCTAGGCTAGATAGAATGCTTAAATGGTTTCCATTTGTTGGATTTATGTAGCCTGTAAACAAATCCTTTGCAAATTACATGTTTTGTGTCACTGTGCAAGATTTCTACCAGCCGTGCAGAGCCCGAGACGCGGACACGAATGGCACGTGAAAACTGTAGATTCCATATTTTTAGTTTATCAGCCCGGCATGTTGCATGAATTAGCTTAGTGGTCACAAAATTATTGTGTTAACCTTTGACCTGTATTGCATGTTGTGATGTTAATATGTTGAAGGAAAAGAATGAATGTTTGCATTGTTGCTAGGGTACTGTATAAGGATGAGAAGGATAGTAACATGTTTCCAATCACCTGCAGTTTGATTTTTGAATGAAAACTAATGTTATCACTTTTATTTTGTAGGAGGACATTATAACGGAGGCTGACGAAGTTACTGCTGTTATGGTCCAAGCGGGTACACTGCCCAGGAAGCCAGGACAGGTGAGTTCATTCATTATCTAATTTTGATTATGTTATTTATAATATTTGGTTAATTGTACACTAATAATTTACCATATTAATTATCCCTGGTGTGTCAGAAGGAACAAATCAATAAAACATGTTATTAATTATAATTGTAAAAGTCATATTTTAAGTTAGATATTGCAAGTACTTCAATATTATTTTTAACAGAGATCAACTTCAGTTTTTATTGATGTTTACTGCAGAGACCTTAATAGATTACAAGCCAGTTTAAGGGTCTAAGAATATACTGTATTATTTATCCATAGTTATTTTCAATTGGAAGTTAAGCATTTACTTGAATAAACAAATGCAAGCATTATATATAGATTTATTTTATTTTCAATTGGAAGTTAGCATTTACTTAATTGAATATACAAATGCAAGCATTATGCATACAGTTATTTTATTTTAATTTGGAAGTTAAGTATTTACTCTAATTGAATATACAAATGCAAGCAATCGTAATATTTAATTTTATTGTTCAAGTTTATGAGCTCAACACAAAGTGTACTTAATGGAAGGAAGAAATATACAATGTATAAGTCATGAAGAATGTAATTATCAAGTTTAAGTATGATGCAAAGAATTACTTACCTTTAGTTAAAGCGGAGTTGCATTTAATGGATATTGTAAAACATCAGCAATCTCGCAGCTTTTCTTTTAGCTCTGAGATTCTCTCAGCTCTTCTAGCTAGCTTTGAGCTTTTCCCATATTTCCTTCTAGATTCGAGCTTCTCCCATTCTAGTATCTCGATCAAACAGCCCACATTATGTTTGTGTAAGTACTTGTTATTAGCCAATCTGGCAGATCTTTGGACCATTTCCACCTGCTTGATGACTTTGCTGGTATATGGGTCCCAGACAATGTGAGCATATACCTCGGAAGGACCATACCAACGTCTTATAGGCGGTACCCTTCAGTTGATTATTTTTCATGTTGATATTACATTTAAGACAGTTTCCCATTTGAAGGTTATTCAAGAGCTGAACAATCAGACTCCAATTCAAATATGACACAAGCTGGATTTGAACCTGGTCTTTTGTGTATTAAAGCAGTGAAACATTACCTTTTACTGAAATAAAAACATTTCTGTAACCTGCCCCTCAAGCATAAAAGAAAATACTGGAATGACCCATAAATGCCCATCATGTATTATTCTGCATTCAGGCACATTTTAGAAGAATATATTCTATGGAGTGACCACACTCTATTTCATAATTTGATAGGGCAGAAAAATGCTAAATTTTACAAATTTTAATGTACAAAAATGCAGGAAATAGCACAGGGCTTAAATAATAAAATACAAAAATACATAATAAGAATAATAGTAAGATATAGGGAGAGAAATTGATTTTGTTTGTAAGAAACAATCCTAGTATTTGCAGGATTTGATCCCTGGAAAGCAAGTACTTCGACCACAGCTCCATTCTCTCAGCAATCATTTTAATTGTATGCATAGAGATTTCTAACACACTTGATATCATACAGCATAATTGTCACAATTTTGATTTACGACTGGTTCTCGTGTTTCATGATTATGCTTCGATCAATGTGTGAGTTATTACAACTAGTCAAGTCGACTCCACTCCCTGCATGATTTATACATCTATCAGTAATACTTACCAACAAAGAAGTATGTTTATTTCTTCAGAAAATTCACACAATATATGCGCTGCATTGAAGGATTAATGGGCATTATAATTAGTAGATTTTAACAATACCTTAAATGGAAAACAAATTATTTTTCATTATTAGATAATTTTCTTTTGCGTGACACCGTAGAATGAATATTAGCTGCACCATAAGTAAGCACATAGATCCTTGCTAAATATCTTGGGAGTTTTGATAGGCTTCTGCGATATCTGTTTTTCTTATTACACGGGACACATTTCAATCTTACAAGAATATGCATTCACATCGATGCGATTTAGTAGGGGGTGCGTGCTCAAAGTCTTTAGTAGATTATACAATTATTCTGCATGAATTATAAGTCTCGTGTAATAAACAAGTGAACTGGTTCAGTTGACTTTCCTATAATGAGAAGTTGAAAGGAGGTCTTGAGCTCGCTGAAGCATGCCAATGCACATGTCAAGATTACCATAACTCAAAACTTGGTGTTATAATTCTTAAGCACTCTCCACACAATCAAATTTTATGTGGCAAATTTGTGTGGTGTGCCCATATGTGCTTGAGGATGTCATATTACACCTAAATATGACATTATACTATATTATACCCAAATATGACATTATACTATATTATACCCATATATAACTACAGTTATTTTTCACACAAAATTTGATAGTGTGAAGAAATGTGTTTTGTTTTTGTTTATATGATCAAACAGAATATCTGTAACAAAGTGTATGCAAGTCTGTCAATTTCAATATTCAATTTAGAAAGCAATAACTAAATATATTATACATAAGAATATTAAATAGGAATAGATTCTGGAAATTTGTATTAAGTATAAATATTCTTACATAATTTCAATCTAATTATGAAATTTGTTTTGACAGCTTGAGGTAGCTGGTGATACAGGGATGAACGATGGAGAAAATGATGAGGATGATGAAGATGTTGATCGGTTTGGCTACTCAATAAGTAAGTACTAATCATTATATCTCTTCACGATGTTTTCCTTGTTGCCTGTGTTACGTTATTCCTGGTGTACATGAAGATGGAAATCCAATACTGCTTTACTCCATGGATTTCCAGGGGTTGTTTTTCTGGCATACTCAACATTTACTGCCTTTCAAATAATAAAATCACAAATAGAAATGAGTAATCTACCATCAGGTGGACATTGTCAATTGTTGGAGAATGGTAAACTTCTTAATGGAAGGTCAGTTTTTTAATGGATGGTCAACTTCATGATGGATGGCCACCTTACTGTTGTATGCACACCTTAGGGCCGGTTTGAGCGAAAGACACCAACCATGTTCTGTTTAAAACACCGGTTAATCGTGCTGATAACTCAGTGGGGGTCGACTGTTCAACGAACAAATTTTAGCTCACGTCAAATACCCTGTAATGAAACTACTCCAGAAGTAAATTTGTACGGTCATCAAATCCAAATTAGAAACAGCAATCCCATCAACCCATTCTTTATTTACTTTTTACTGCTGCTGTACTCTCCACACAGCACGGCAACACTCTTTAAAATCTGTACCTTGGCTAGTTGTATTCAAGATTATTTCTCCGAATAATGGTATCTACAAATAGTTAGTAGCCATCATTATGGCTACAGTGATGCAATGTTATGTTGATGGATTTACTGTCCAGTACAACTTTGATTTGCTTCGATGCAAAGGATCAGAGCGTGCAGCAACAGTGGGCAATAGCTGCAGTGGTAGTTGCTGCCAGGACTATTGAACCCTATTGAATTTTTGCGCACTAGACTGTCGACAAAACATATGGAAAAACAATTATGGTTTATTTATCATACATGGTATTTTACCCAGCAGTTTGACGGCCAAATTGTCGTGGATAATCCAGATGGTAAGGTAATGAGACAAGTTTCCGAGTGGTTTTAGAAATTGTTTACCAGTGAATTAACTGGTAAATTTCAGGGATATTTTTTTTGCTCAAACTGGCCCATAGTGGATAACCATCTTCTTGTCTTCTACGGTCATCTGAAATAATGGCCTCTTTGATAGATTGTCACCGTCTTAAAAATTTACTAGAATTGCCAGGCACTTTTTTTGATGGATGGTCACGTTCTTAATATTCTTATTTAGATCCCCTCTATTTCAAATTTCTGGATCCGCCACTGATATCATATCATTAATTTCGTCATTAAAACACTATGGAAAATATGTAATGAAATATAAAACAAGCACATAACCCATGATTGGCGACCGAGGCCCAGAAAGGGCACCGGTCTCAGAAAGCCACATGGCCACTGGGTGGATGGTCACATTTTTCATGAAGAGTGAGCTTGTTAATGAATGGTCACTTTTTCATGGCCTGTGAGTTTGTTAATGGACAGTCACCTTCCTGATTGACAATCAGATTTTTTAATGGACAGCTTGTTAATTGACGGTCACCTTTTGATGGCCAGTTAGCTTGTTAATGGATAGTAACCTTTTTGATGGACATGAAGTTTTTTGTTTCCAATATATTTCTTCACTCTGTCTTTATGCGGTACATCTGCAACAGCAACAGTTATATTTTCTAGTATTTATTGCTAGATTTTATGCAGCAAATTCCCTAATTTTTTATCCCCCATATTTTTACAATTAAAAATTATGTTCAAATTCAACTTGCAGTAATGAATATTTCACAGTAGTGCTTTTCACAATCCATCAGTATTTAACCTATTCACAATAGCGTTCTTTTATTGTGTTTATTGTCTTGATTTGCAGTACCAACTGTTTTAGGTGGTTTTTTTCTCTTAAATATTCAATTTTCTGATGTTTTAATTTGCAATAAAACCATGTGCCGTCACCTGCTTGTGTGCTTATCATTTTATTCTTTCTATCTCCTGTTCGTAAGTTTACCATTTATAGTTAGGTAAATTAACAGCTTTGCAATGACGTGTTTGGATTTTTTACGACAAACACAGGAGAATTCTGTTGATACTGAATCTCAAGTCTGACTTCTCACCAGCATCATAATTATGCTTTTAGAGATGACAAAGTGTTGCAGGTTTTTTCGTCCTCTTTCATCATTTACTCTGTCTTCATATCTGTAATTTATTCTGCTGTGTTTTTGCTGTTGCAAATCATTCTGCATTTATATTAATGAAACCAAGATTATTTTTCATTGTGTGACAAGGTTTACCTTCTTATTAATTTTTTTATTTTTTAAACTATACTATATAATTCCTTTATACTCTTTAAGATGACAATTGCTTCAATAAAGCAAAGTGTGTATAGTCTGTTTTTTTTTTAGTATAGTTGTTTTAGGTCATGAAAAAAATGTTTAACTCTATTTTCTCCTTTTTGTTTAGTATTTCATGTCCACTTATCTGTCTGATTAGTTTGTATTGTGTTTGATGTTAAAGGATAAGGAGACATTTTGATCTTATATTTGCCAAATTAATAAAAGTCTAACATTAGATTTGAACCTTTCACCTAGGAATTGGAAGTTGGGCATAATTACCATTGAATCATTCTTTTTATTGCATTACATATTATATAGTGACAAGTCCTGAAACTTAATCAATTATCTCAAACTCAGCACATACTTAGTGTGTCATGATTAAAATTAATGATAATGAAAATAATAAGTATTAAGTTGACCCAATAAAAGTTAAAATGTTGAATCATTGCCTCCCTCTCTTATGAGTAACGTTCATTCTATGATATTAGGTTGTTGATATGAAATGTTTTTTGTCGAGCAGTATAGCTTGCTGTTTCATTTCATAAACAATATAAAACTAACTGCCCTTAATGCCATGGCCAAGCTGGCTAATATTTAGCTTCTGTGCCTGTGGATGCTAAGCATCAAGTCAATAGCAATATGGATTCAAACTTATTTGAAAATGTCTTAAGGGTCGTCTTGATTAAGTATTTGACTTTGAGAATAAGGTTTCCAAAGGTCATGTTTAATAGGTGATCCGCTTCACGAGTAGATCACCTCTAGTTATTGTACGGTTCTTTTTTATTCTTCTTTTTCTTTTTTTTATTCTTTCTTTCTGGCGAATATCTCAAAATTGCCAAGAGCTACGAATATGACATCTTCAACGAACATTTGGCTTGGCCTGGAATAGTCACAATAAGCTTTTCAATGTGCTCAGTCATGCGTGATGTCATCTATGCGTAATGTTTGCATTTTTACATTATGGTTGGTATCATTCTAACCAATTGTCATTTCTAAATCATATTCAGTGGGCATAAACTTCAGGTCAAGGTTGAATGTCATGTATCTTAATGTATCTTAATACGTGCGTCAAAATTATAAAATGCACAAAATCACTTTTTAATTAAATTAGAGCACGTTTCAGGCCATTTTGAGCATTTCAACATTTGTCAGATTTTCTGGGCCACGTGCATTTTCATGCGCACAGCATGTACGGAAACTATAAGTTATGTTTTTTACATATTTTTAATTCCTGACACTGTATTAACACATTTCTATTCTTTTTCAGTCATCTTAGAGCGAATAACAATGCCGTATGCACACATTTAATCATACGAATCCTTGCGTGCTTTTGTGTCGAAATACAATTAAAATATGCCAAAATTATGCATATTTTTAATCCATGACGTCACTTTTTAAAATACTCTTTTGAGCGTGTCTTGCTTATCCTTAGTCAATCGTCTCCCAACTTTGAGTATGTTGTAGCTGAGACAATTTTCTTTCATAAATGTGATTTTTTTTACATTTTGATGACGTCATCATGGTCAAAATAAATGTTTTCTCTGACACCCGTCATCTTTCTTTCCTCAAATCTTTGACGACCCACATATCATCCTAACCAGTCGTCATTTCTAAATCATATTCAGTATGTGCACCCGACTTAACATGCACATACGTGTGCGTCAAAATTTTTAAATGCTCAAAATCATGCCTGCACAGTTTGAAAATCCTGGCTACAATATTTTTCCATTTCACTTTTAAGCGCTGCAAGGTTTCTTTTGCCTGACTAGCGGATCACCTAACTCGTCCGAAGTAACGAGTTCAAATTTAGTTATAACTAGTGATACTATGTTCAATAGAACATGAACCCAGTCATTTTTTAAGAGATAACCACTGTGACTTTTAAGCTCAACCTGTGTGAACACCCCATGTTTGGTAGGAGTCTGTCTAATGCAATTGGTCAAATCAGGATTTTCAAACCAGGATTAACATGCACATACGTGTGCGTCAAAATTTTTAAATGCTCAAAATCATGCCTGCACAGTTTGAAAATCTTGGCTACAATATTTTTCCATTTCACTTTTAAGCGCTGCAAGGTTTCTTTTGCCTGACTAGCGGATCACCTAACTCGTCCGAAGTGACGAGTTCAAATTTAGTTATAACTAGAGATACTATGTTCAATAGAACATGAACCCAGTCATTTTTTAAGAGATAACCACTGTGACTTTTAAGCTCAACCTGTGTGAACACCCCATGTTTGGTAGGAGTCTGTCTAATGCAATTGGTGAAATCATTAGTCACTAGCAATCAAAATGAAAACTTTTCCTCTATTTGCCGTGCACCCGACTTAACATGCACATACGTGTGCTCAAAATCATGCCTGCACAGTTTGAAAATCCTGGCTACAACATTTTTCCATTTCACTTTTAAGCGCTGTAAGATTTCTTATGCCTGACTAGCGGATCACCTAACTCGTCCGAAGTGACAAGTTCAAATCTAGTTATAATTAATAATGCTGCAACTACCAATGTGAAATTTGAGAAAATACTTCTTTTTGAATAATCATCAATATTACAATAATTATAATAATTATTGTAAGCATTGTAAAAATACTGTTTTTGGTTGTAGTAGGCAAGCCTCAATAGAAATAGGGTTTCTTTAATTACATTACATCACATTACTACTTCGATGTAGCGCCCTTAGAATGAAAACATTATCAAAGGTGCTGTTATTATCATCTCTGATTATATTATGAAGTAAAATATTCATTCAAAATATAATTCAATGCTAGAGTAATAGAAGAATATCATAATGTCAGTATATGATGGGCGAGTTAGGTGATCCGCTTGTCAGGCAAAAGAAATGTCGCAGAAAACTAAAAATGAACTGATGTCCGTATATGATTGGTCAGACTTATTTGCATATGTAATTTTGCATAACTCTTTAATTGTGATTGGCTGTATTGCTCTCAGCTACTCTTTCAAATTTTGAAGACAATTATGAATATGAGTATGGGTATAAATTTGCTTTGATTATTCTAATTCCCCCACCTTATTCAATTAAAATACCTTTGCTGTTTGTTAATTAATTTGATTACTTTTGTAATATCATTAACCTAATTGTATATAACAATTATCCTATAATAGTGAACAACAATTGAGGGCTGTTGGTTTTTGTTTTCAATAATATCTTTATTAACCACCTAAACCAGAACATGTGGTTTTACTACTGTAGGTGGACTTTAAAACCAATTTGTTTTAAAATATTTATTTTCAACAGTTCTTTAGATTTCCTCTTATAATATTTACTTGAAATTTTGATAATTTGTCTAAATTTTAAAGCCACTATATTTTTTCCAAAATATTCGGGAAAAAAAAAAAAAACAATTTTAAGAAATTGAACATTTTATTTTTAATTGAATTTTAATATTAATTATACTGTAGTAGTATCTACTATTCTGTATAATAAATAACAGATTAATTACAACTACTATGGTACTGTATAATTTCTAATCTATATTAATATTAAGATTCATGCAAATAGTTGTAAATTAGGTAATTATGTATACTGTATTTTGTTAGTAGTCTAATGTAACTCAGTATAGTGTGTGTACGTATGGTGCTACCAGATGTAACATATCTTTCTATAGTGTTTCCACATTACCTGTCAGCTGTGAGCTTAATAAACACCACCTTATCATACATAGATGAAAGTAGTTTTTTCATTTTCAAAGTACTGATCTGGATTTGGAGATTGCGATGTGTAAAAGGTCTCTTATTTCATGAGCTCACTTCACTCGTGGCTGTTGGATTAATACTAAGAAATCTGATCTTGTCCCGCATTATTTGTGCAACGTCAAATCACTCCGTTGAGCCAAGAATTCTAACAAGGGAGAAACAAAATATTCTTCTGGCTTGGCCAAAGATATTTTGCCTGCTATTAAGCAAGACATTTGTGTAGACTATCTTAGCTTCATTAGAATATCTTGGTTATTCTCGAAATGTGCCAATATATTTCTGTACTGTGATGGCACCAACAAGTTTACCAGGTAAAAAATATATTGATTGAGATTAATTGCATCCTACAGCTTATTAATTATCTGATTACATTAAAGTGATTATTATCACTTGGTAGATGGAATTTATTAACTGTGATTTTTGTAGATAGGCTAGCATGTCATTTGTGAAATATTTTATAATATTAGGATCTTGTTGAATATTATCATTCTTGAAGTAAATAGGTGATTTACATTGCTTTGCAAGTGACTAACACACAAATGTCCAGGTCAGTTATAAGTTGCCATTTCTAGGGCTGTTAGATTATATAATGAGGTAATATAACAAAGACATAATTGTTATGGTGTTTATTCTGGAAATAAATAAAAAAAACCTGGGAAATAGTCATAATAAAAATTTAATGATCTGTGTTTGATTAATATTTAACCTGGGTGTCCCAAAGTTGCACATTGTTGAAGTGCCCAACTTAGTGGCACAACACTGACAGCTATGAGCTCTCACTAGCTAAATCCAGGGGGCCCGCAGCCTCAAGGGCCCCCAGCACAATCAAATGTTGTTTTTTAACAAACAAATAACCAAGGCTCTTTTCCAAGCTTGTTTGGAATTTATTGTAATATGTTTATTAGTGATGTTTTAGTTTAAAATAAGTATGCTTTTTTGGGTTAAATCATGATACATAAACTTAAAATTTGAATGTGTAAAAAATGTGATAAAAAAAAAGTTTGCCAACTGGGGGCCCTTCGCAACCCCTGGTCCCGGCATCCGGTGCCCCTAAAGAAACCCTGCCGAGGGGCCTTAGGCCCCTTTGTTACACCACTGGCCCAACTAAAGTTTTTGTTAATGCCATGTGTGAGTTGTAGCTGTTGGTTGAGATTTAATTCTGGGTTGCAGGGATGGTTGAAGAAGGGATGTTAGATTGGTATCTGATGTGACACAGGAATCGATTGCATTCTTAATTCAAAATATGCTATTGCTGATCATCAGTGTGATCTTATGACAATTAAATATGACAGTACTAATTATATTTTTCAAATGACCCCTTAATGACTTGTTCTCTACCTGTGATTTTTGTGCCTATGTGGTTAGTGTTAGTGATTGGCATAAGAACTTATATACAAAGAAAGTGATAAGTCTGTATCTGGCAAGCTGATTCCTTTCACGTACAAATAAATAAATAGGATAAAATTTAATGAAATTATTAGAAATATGCTGTATCGAATCTTATTCTGCAAAATTATTTTATGCAGGCATAAACCAATGGGCATGTGGAGACACTAGGCCTACATACTGTATACACACAAACATTTAGGTTAACCTCAATGTACACTATCCAAGTATTTAGATAAGCTTGCATGCATTTATCTATTTACATTGTTCAGTGTTTTTAAGTTCTTGCATTTCCTACATTGATTTTTGAGTTTGTACATCGCTTGCACTTGTTCCTGTTGTACATTGTTTGCCATGTTTGAAATGGACATCCTTCAGAAATGTTAATTATTTTACTGATTCATTAAATCTTACATACTCAGTATGCATTACTAAATCAATCTTAATCTTTTTTATTATTACTCATGTATGCTCTTCTTGAATCTCTGCCCTGCAGCTGTTTTACTTTTATCCTACCGTATCTGAATAGATGCTTAATGCATCTTCCATCTGAAAAGGTGCTTAAAATTTCCCCTGTCTGAGTAGATGCTAAAGTTCTTTCTATATTTGGACAAGTATATAGCTACCTCTTCATTTTCATTAGATTTCAACCTAAATAGATTGGCCTACAGGGTAATGCCCCCTCCCCTTTCATCCAAGTGGTATCACTTGCAGTTTTTTTTTTGTAGCTATCTCGTAGGTTTTGCGTCATTGATGTCAAACTAAAAGTCATCATAGCTAACCTTATGTATGTTTTATTTTTCAGAGAAGATGTGTCAGAAATACAATGACCTTGAAGGGGAGATTCACATCATTGACCTCCAGAAGGGTGCCACGGGGTTAGGATTGAGGTAGGTGCAGATTACAGTGTCTTATGTTATATTCTGTTAATGGGACTCATATATACTTTTTTTTAAATAAGAACACATTTTATAAGAACACTTTGGATGAAATTACTTAAAAAATAAGAATAAATTTAGGCAGAGCTAAAATGTAAGATGAGGTTTTTATTTAAAAGAAAAAAACAACAAAAATCAATTTAAAAAAAATCAGTAAAATTCTATATAAGCCAGAAAAATTGAATACAGAGTCAGCAAGCACTTCTGGTGCTGGGGGGTATTTTACATGTATGTATTTCACCAAAGTCTGATGTCATTATTAATTACTCTAATCTTGCCACGTTTACATCTCTCTGATCCTACCATGTACCCTTTTTAAAAAGTTATGTAGTGGGTGACCCCCCTATAAAATGTCAGCCCATATTCTCATTACAAAGCTTAGGGATTGGAAATGTTTTGTTTGTCATGAAACAAAATTCCTGTGCTATGACAGGATTTGAACCTAGAACCCTGAAATTGGAAGGCAAGCATCTTAACCACTGTGCGGCTGAAGTATTGCAAGTGCTTTCTAGTACAGTATTTAGCTACAGCTGCAACACATTAAATCATGGGTGTACCAGCTGGATGTTTACATTTATAAGAACCTGGATGGATACTTAAATTCCATCACTGAACTACGAAGTTTTATTGATACAATTTGTTTTGTTGTAGTGGAATGCTTTCTGTAGGACCCATGATATTTACATTTTGGTCAATCTGGATGAATGTTTTAGTTCTACCATTGAACTGCAAACTTTTAATTTGTACAATAATTAAAATGTTTGGTTATGATGTAGGGTAGATATTGATTATAGAGTATGTTCATTGAAGTGCGAAAGGTCACTCGGTCAAAGGACATGAGAGTGTATTTGTTTAATTCCATATTTATTTTTTCTAGTCAGTGTAATACTTGCGGCATTTTAATGATAGTGCTATGGCAAACTAATAAAATTGAACTTTTTTTTTTATTGATAGATTGATGTGCTTTTAACTGTACTTTGCTTTCAACTAAAATTAGAATGATAAAGAAATTGCCAATGGGTGTATAAATAATATTGTTTCTATATTTTTGCATAGATCCTTAAATTGGCTTTCACCTAGTTTAAGGACTTTTACACATATAATAAGCAATTAGTAGCGTTATGTATCAAGCAAGTGTGCACTAATAAAAAATTAGTGGTTAAAGATAGGAAAATATTGGGAGTTACATTGATGACATCACAATTGATTTATAGCATGTATTATGTTATACTATTAGACAATATAATATTTATATTAAATCCATATATTGTACTATATTTATTGTTAATGTTATTCACAAATAATAAATTAATTATTCATTATATAAATGAGTGGATGTATAGATACTAGTAAATTATTCGATATGATTTGTGTATTTAAAATTTGACATTTTTATGGTAGATGATTGTAAGCTTTTGAAGGTTGTATATGATTAGTTCTAACCCATTATATGTGCCTTGGTTCATGTGACCATTTAATTTCAATGCAATTCTAAAACAAAGAATATGTGTGTTCAAAATTGTAATTATCCTCACAGAAATAAATAATTCATCTTAACATGGTTTCATTAGATAATTTACTTTAGTTGATAAAGTGCTGGACAACAATTTATCATTGCTGAACAGAATTTAAACTGTATTGACTTTTGAAGTGAAGCCTTGTTGTTAAGGACCTGCTTTCCAATTAAGACATCCTGGGTTATAATTATCTTGACCATATTTTTGCTTCAGATCTTAAAACAATTTCATCTGGCTGATAAAATCCTCAGTTAATACTTTATTGGAAATTTCTTTATTAGCAATACTGTATCAACGAAGTACTTACTCAAAACATTTCTAATTGAATCACAATTTTTTTTTATTAACACACCGGATGGCTGTTACCGGTGTCTGTAACTTCATCAGCATTTGCTGATGCTTTACATCCCCCGATGATTTTTTAATAGTAATAATATAATTTGTTAAGCACACAGAAAAGTACTGTAAATGAGCATTTTCAAAAAGTTTCCATTGTCAGTTGTTGATTTCAACATGGCTCTAAGAATGCCAATAGTCGATAGTTGTTAAAATAAAGTATATACGAGTACATAAATTCCAACTTTAATAGGTTCTGTAGCACAATCCCGCTGGACCTGCCCCTGTCAGTTACTTGTTGATAGAATGTTATTAAGTAGGTTTTAGCTTGATTAACATTACTTCTAGGAAATAATTTTAACGTACTCGGAAATAATTTTAACATACTCTACAGTATGTTTGATGACCTCTTGTTGTTGACCTAAGTTCATTATAATCATCTTCATTATTATCATCATCATCATCATCATCACCACAATTGTCGTTGTTCGTCTTCATTACCATTATCTTTATCATCCTCACCATTATCATCATCTTCATCATTATTACCAGAATTATCAATAGCAGCAACATCGTCATCATTATTATCATTGTCGTCGTTATCATCATTATAATCATCATCATCTGTTTCTAACTTCATCATCTTCATCATATCACCATTATCTTTCTTCATTAAATAAAATGAATTGAAAATTGAGTATTTAAAAGTATTTGTCCTGGCAAAGGAATGAGAAAATTTAAGATTGTGCGGCATATAGACAATCTTAAATTTTCTCATTCCTTTGCCAGGACAAATACTTTTAAATACTCAATTTTTAATTCATTTCCTAGATTATGCGAGACATTACCTGCTGACCTCCGAAATTCTCTCCTTAATACTAGTTACAAATATTTTCTTAGCAATCTGAATAAACATTACGCTAACTCTTAATTAATAAATTAAATTTTAAATTTTTAACCTCATTCTTTTTAATAATTATAATTAATTTTGTTTGATATATTTTAAGTGCAATGCTATTTTAGATGATTTGTTTGACATTTTTACATTAAATGTTTTAAGATAAATTTTAATGCTTATCTGAATATTTTTATATCTCAAATACCCTTTAAATTAAATTTGCTCTTTTATTGATTTTTACTCATTTTTCTATATTTTAATATTTATTTTCGATTCTTTATCTTTCTGAAGAATTTTATATTGTATGTATTGTGTTTTTCTTGTAAAGGGCCTCCACTCGACAGTGATTGATTTTACTTTTGGAGTGTCCTGTCTCTGTTTTTTTGTACTTTTGTGATTGATCTTTGCCGTTTCTGTTTATGTACATTTTAATTGTTTGAGACAAATAAATAAATGAAATGAAATTATCATCACTCAATTTCATCAATCATTTTCAAAATTATCTTACTATACAGGAATCAGATAAAGTCGATAAATAGTTCAAAATAATGATAAAATAATTAATTTTTATTTTGGAATAAATTACCACTGAAATATATTTAAATACCTAGCAGTTTGTAGACACAATCAGGGGTGGTGCCCTGGATTTTCACGAATGTGGCCTTTGCCCCTGACAAAGGGGAAGACTTCCCCGACGAGAACAAAGTGGCCATGGATAAGCGTCGCTTAAAATGTATCAAAAGTAGTCCAGGGGCGAACCCTTGAAATTTTCAAGGGTTTCGCCCCTGGACTACTTTTGAACATTTAGCGGTTTCAAAGGCTTATATAATCAATTTTAGGGTCTACTAATATGTACAAAATACATAAGAATTGTTTTTTCTCCACGACAAATTGTGGTTTTTCTCCCTGACGGGGGCCCTGGCGCCTCCCTGCTGGCACCACCCCTGGACACAATACTTTTGTGTATTTGCTGGCATACCATAACTGTTATTGATTGGTTTGCCATTTGTTATGTGTAGGTAATTCCACAAAGTATGCAACAACTGTTAGTTGGTTTGAAACGTGTAAAATAGTAAAGTGAAAAAATAGGACTTTGAGCAAATCCTTAAAAAAACAAAATAAAAAAAAACAAAAAACTGAATACTGGTATTGTTACCAACAGCCTTGCTGGAAATCGAGATAAGTCCAAGTTGAGTGTATTTGTGGTTGGAATAGATTCCGATGGTTCGGCTGCAGTTGATGGAAGACTGAAAATAGCAGATGAGATTCTAGAGGTATGTGATTAAACCATTCTTGTGTGTGAATGTGTATGTTAGTGGTATGATGATGATACTACCTTGTGTGTATATGAGATTCTGAGGAATGTTATTTAGGCCATGCTGCTTTGCATGTATGAGAGGTAGTTTGACTATCATAAGCAAAGTTCTAGAACCTCACACCATTGGGCAGTTTCTGTGATCTGGACTCCCATCAGCGTGAATTTTGGAATATTTCTTATTTTCTTGTAAATGTTTTATGTTTGTATTTTGAATTAATTTCCAGATTAATGGAAATCAGGTCTATGGACGTAGCCACCAAAATGCATCTGCTATCATCAAAACAACTGGTCAGATGGTTACTATGGTGATTTGTCGTAGTGATGATGCCATTAATCAGCTAGCTGTACATCCTTTGACCTCACCTGTTGGTCAGGTAAGTGTCTTCATAGTTCACTACCCTTTGACCTGATGACCAAGGGTTAAGGCAGGTTGCTGCAATGTATAGTTTTCAGTTTTGGTGCACCAAGGCAAAAAAACGTAACAAAAAATCTGCCAAGCTGGTTCAGTTGGCAGATTATTCTAGTTGTGGTACAAGTCTTCTCTGATAAAGAATATAAACCGTAGACCAAATGTAAACAACTGGTCCAAACAGCTCTTGTTGTGAAGTGAGAAGAGTAATTGGTACTGGTTTTACTATGTAGCTCAAGTCACCCGTAGGAGAGAGAAGGAAGTTACTGTACAAGCTAGCCTATTTTATGCCTTGAGCACTTGAGACTGTTTTTGAGACTACATTTGCATTACATAGATAGAAATTTTATGATTTTACTTTTGTCTATAATTTATATTTTCGTGATACATTGAGGTCTTGTCATTAAGGAGATTTCTTATTGTGATGATAGTAATAGCACGTATTGACATTTCTGCAAATGTGAAGACTTTTAAGTTCTTGTTCTTCCTCTAATTTCTACGACATTGTCTTGTTCTTCCTCTAATTTCTACATTGTTTTCACCCAAATCTATGCAAGACGGTTGCAGCCGTGTGAATCTGTTCTAGAGGGTTTAAAAATAGCATGGTTACTCTAACCTCTGACCTCTTCTAACATAATGATAGGGTGAATCTACTTAAACATTCATTTATAATTGAAATTTCAAATCATGTATAAAAGTGATAAATTTATGAAAGTAACAAAAATGCAGCTGGCAAAAAAGTGACTTGGAATTCAAAAGTGTCTTTGGAATGAATTACAAATGATATTAGGATAATGATAATAATTAATGCCAGTATTCTTCAGTTATTCTAAGCACTTCTTTAAGCACCCTTTTTCATTAAATTAGCCAACTACTAGATTCCATTGATTTCGCACATTGATTGGTCCTCAGTCTTTCTATGAAAGTTATACTTTAATAAGCTGTCAAGACTTACCTATAGTGGATTGCGTAGTTGACATTTTTAGGATTACCTTTGCTTCAACTATTTATTAGTTCATCCATGTCCAAATATCAAGCATCTCATAGATTTTGTTAAGACTTGGTCTGCTATATCGTTTATTCATCCATTCATTCATTTAATTATATATCTCTTAATTTACTCCAATTTACTTATGTCCATTTATTCATTATAAATTCTATTCATTCATTCATTAATCAATTCATTCAATTTATCCATTTATTATTAGTGGCGGTTTTCATCGCTGTTGGTTTTATACTGAATAAAATAAAAATAAATAAATAAATATTCATTCATTTACCTCATTTATTTATCCATTCATTCATCTCTCAAATTCATTTCAGTAATTCATTCATTTAGTTTTTTATTCATTTCATTAATGTATTCATTCATTTAATTATATATTTCATACATTCTATTTATACATTAATTAATTAATTAATTTATTTAATTATTCATTTATCTCATTTATTCATTCATTCATCTCCCAAATTCATTTATGAATTCTATTCATAAATTCATTAATTAACTTCATTCATTTAGTTATTTATTTATTCATTAATTCATTATGTATTCATTCATTTAATAATATATTTGATTCATTCATTTATTGTTTTATTTATTATGTTTAGTGTTTGACATACACTTGTGTTCGGTAGGTTAAGTCTGATCGTAGTTGGATAAAGGAGAAACATTAATATATGCCTGGGAGCAAGCACATCGTCTCATGCTAATTACCGTCTCAGCTAAGTTCATACTTGTTTGTATCCATGAGCTCATTCACTGAATGGTCATTGCTGGATACACATGTACACTGAATGTACGCCTTCAATTCTTAAAGTCGAATCTACCTTCAGTTTTTAAAGCAACATTTAAACTTAAATCCTTATAATAATTTTAAACAAAAATTTGGTGAAATGTGTGATTCCTCTTAGAACTCTATCCATTTTGGGTAATCTTATACCTTATTATACTGTATTAACTACTTGAATAAATTTCAAATAAAACTGACATATCTTAATACACAATGCATTTTGGGTAATGTGCATTCACTTCTTCAATAAATTTCAAATAAAATTGATGGAGCTTAATACCACAATGCATTTTGGGTAATGTATATTGCACTTAAAGTACCATATTCGTCTTGAATACATTTCAGATGTTATTGATGTAGCTTGATACCACAATGCATTGTGGGTAATATGCATTGATTTGAATAAATTTTCATCTTCCAGCGAGACAAAAACACAAAATTTGATTGATTCAATTTAGCTGAAAACAAGTTCTTTTTTTGCAGATTTTCAGACAGACTGAATAAAAAGAAAAACATAATTGATTACAAGCCAATAAATATATAGAAACAGTATATATTTAGGGTTTCTGTTGTATTCAACTTTAATCCAAAATTAGATAATATATTTGAATTGTGATAGCATTTTTTAAATTAACCTTCTTTATGTAAGTCAATTTGACACCTAAGTTGTAAATATAGAATAAAAATAAAATACAACTGATAAGTAAAATGATAAAAGGGTATATCATTGATTTCTTATGTTTAAAGAAAACTTGTGATCACATTTACAAGAAATATTAATCAATCACTTTTACTGTAGTGTACAATTGTGCTGTAGAATAGAATACTTACAGTTTGTTTAACTTAATAAAATTCAATTAAATAATTAAAATATTTTCATCAGCTTACAAAACTTAGTAGATTTATTATTGTGTGTATTAAATTTCTTTATCTCTTTTAAATTTCTTGATGTCGATGCAACAGTAGACAAGTTCTTTATGTATTTTGTTTACCCTGGCCAAATATTTTTGATATATTAAATTAATATTGTGGCACTTGTCATGTTAAAAAACATAACTGAGTTTGGCATGTCAAATAGTAATCTGAATTCTGATGATAGATGATTGTTAATTTATTATCAATAGAATTTAAGGATAGTTAATAGCATGAAAATAAGTGAGAATCTTATCTTCATTATTCGATTTATCATAATCATTTGAATTCAACCACCGAATCATTGTAAAGACCAAAATGCACCCATTCATGAAATAATCGTTTATTCAATTCTAAGCCTTTGATGACTATTATTGAATGTGTTGACTGTAAAATAAAGCATGGATTAACTGGAACACAGTGGTCCGTCTTCTCTCATCCAATTTAAAATTTATATTCATTTATTCAACATCGTTTCTCAAGAGACTCGTACAGTGTGTGAAACACAACCAATCCCATTTTAATAGCGAAGGACGTTGTTCGTCTGTTTATTGTGCGCAATTTTCTGCATTTTTTAATCTTTAAATCTAGATTGCCACCAGCTAAGTCCATTAAACCAAAACACCTCCTAATTGTCTTATTTTAATCAAACAAATATGCCATTAAAATTGTTTCATAAAAAGGTTTCTTTTCCAATTTATTTTTTAAAAATACTAATACATTGAAATATTGTTCAATTTTGATAACACCGCAGAAAATGATTTTAAAAATATGATATATGAGGAAGGAGAGGGTGCTGTAGGAGAGCAGATATAGATAATTTCTGATTGCGTTGTTTTATGCTTAATCCTTTCACATCTTGATATTTCTTATTTGAATCTCAAATAAAACAAGATTTTTCTCAAATAAAATATAAAAAATCGAAAAAATGCACGCTAGAATTGAATCAATAACACTTCTAAAGTGTATGTTATTACCTCACTCTCAACAAGTTTCTTTACCATTTTATCATCTCATCCTCGAATATGTAATCAGAAAATTTATTCTTGATGTGAACATTCACTATAACTTCGGTTCCCAAATAATTATTAAATTTAGGACTTTTTATCATAAAGAATACTACTTTTTACTACATAATTGAAAATAATAATATAAATATTTTCTATTTCAATTATACAGGTAATTAAATTTTACAAAGCAGTTGAAATCTAAATCTATTTTTCAAATGAATCAACTCAGCATAGACAGTCATTTAATGCATTAAAAATTTTCATTAATTAAAAAGTTTGATTATTCAAATTTTTCTGCTAAGTAAAGACCTGCGGTAGCATGGTAGAGTACGATGCTTCCATTCCAATGCTCATTGGGTCAATTCTCTCATTAGACCTCACAGTCCGTATCATTCAAGATGGTTGTTAATTGGCCAAGTCGTGTAGAGTGGTTGTTAAATTTATTGGTCTGCCAGCATTAGCTGCTTGGCTACAGATATTCCATGGGGAAGGGAAATGGATGTCATTTTCCGCATAATCATTACATATTCGAGGATGAGATGATAAAATGGTAAAGAAACATGTGAAGAGTGAGGTAATAACATACACTTTAGAAGGGTTATTGATTCAATTCTAGCATGCATTTATTTCGATTTTTTATATTTTATTTGAAAAAAAATCTTGTTTTATTTGAGATTCAAATAAGAAATGTCAAGATTTAAAATTTATTATTATGTTATTTTTGATACCAGTATACAAATATTTTGTATGTTTGAGGGTCTAAAGTTTAGGCAGAAATTATTATTATTTTTATTATTACACAACCAAAAATACAGAACATGCCACTTAAAGAAGGGAACACAACAGATGTATAAACTCAGCATTGACAGTCATTTAATGCATTAAAAATCTTCATTAATTAAAAGTGTTAATTAATTCCAAATTCAACTTACTACTAAGGAAAAACCTGATGGCAATAGTGCAAAATAGTATGAATTATTTTTGCAAAGAATAGATAGGAGTATTTTCTGAGATGCGGTTGGAACTAGAAGTATGTCTTAAATGTACAAGTGTAACATGAATAGAAAAATGATATTAGCGCATCCATGAGAAACTGATTAGATACATTTGACAAGGCATCGCCTCCATTAACATCACATAATATCCAATTAGGTATGCTGAGGTATTTCAATATTTTATGGTTGTAATGTCTGGATTCACATGTTTTTGAAAATATTTCTTTTGGTATAATTACTTTTCTTCTGTTTTTGTGACAAGCAAACCATATTTGAATTTATATTTTACAACTTAGGCAATATTATAAGGAATAAGTGAATTATAAAGCCAAGTGAGTAGGTGCATGCATAGCTAAAAAGATGAATGTTTACGTGAATGAATGGATAAATAAATAAATGGGTTGATATTTCTTGATGAAAAATTACAATTTCAAAATTGACATGTTGTTTCACCTGTTTTGTACTAATTCCAAGGGAATAATGAGTCGATTTTCAAGGCTAACTCATATGTACTTCTGGGTAGAGAGAGAGAGTCAAACGTAAAGTGTCTTGCCCAAGGAAACACAAGCGGCTTGCACAGCGATTTGCCCAGGGGGATGGTTTGCATTGCTGAGTATTGATTAATAAGAATGAGTACAGTATTTATAAATGTGGATACATTTTGTTATTGATTATTAATGATTATAAATGAGTATTAATAAGTTCTATTGAGTATTGATATACATTTTATTATTGCATATTAATAAATATTATTGAGTATTGATAAGTTTAATTAAGTACAGTATTAATTAATATTGAGTATTGATAATGTGGATACATTTTATTTAGTAATAATGAATATTAATGAGTATTGATTAGTTTCATTGAGTATTGAATAATAATAATGAGCATTGGTAATGTGGATACATTTTATTTCAATTTTAAATAATCATTTATTTCTTCACACAATACAATATAAACAAAATATAACAAAAGGTAAATATTGACCAGTCGGATTTCATAAAGAAAAAGACTAGTGTGAAAGAGGGCACTGCTCAAAAAGTATACGCCAAATGATAAAAGGAAAAACCATTTATCAAGTGGCACTTGTAACGAGCAACCCATATAATAACGAAAGCATATATTTCTTTGAAATAAATACATAAACAAAACAAATACAAAACACGGATACAGTAATGAATATTAATGAGTATTGATAATTTTTATTGAGTATTGATTAATAATACTGAGTTGATAAATGTGGATACATATTATTGAGTATAATGAATATTAATGAGTATTGATAAGTTATAGTATTGTGTATTGATACGTATATGTAAGTATTGATTAGAGTTGATTTCCACATACACGTGCTAATAAAAGTATTGTGTGATTAATAATATTTTTACATTTATTTTCCTAGTTGACTGTCAAAGATGGTGGTTTGAAGTCTGGCAAGAAGAAAGATTTTATGAATTATCCTAATGTACAAACTATTCACCTTACCAGGGTAATTTCACTTTTTTATATTTAGAAATTTAATTTCAGTTACATATATTCTGATCGGTTAGATACATATTATTTACATATGTTTTAGTTGGTTAAAATCATTTATGCCCCAACTAGAATGATATTCATAATTCATAATTTTATTTATCACATAAGATGGTAGATAACAAAGGGAAATCTTCCCTGTACGTGTCAAGTACGATAAGATATGTGTGACTGAGCCTTAATTGATGCACGCGCATAAATATCTTGATGAAAACACATCCACATCCAAGATCTTGATTTATCATATTTAAAAAATATATTTCATGAAAAAGAGAGTTATTTTAGCTATAAATGCAATGAAGTGTATATATAAAATGGATACAAATTTGCATAGAACTTGTTGAAGATGGTGCTTGAGGTAATTAACAACTACATCATTAGACATCTTTAAAAAAAAATTGTTTTTTAAATTGCAATTTCACACAAAATACAGAAAGACAGTACCGCAACACCAACAAAAATAAATCTCTTAAACTACTTACTACCTGGTACTAAAGTAATGCAAAATTTAGAACCTGTATAATTGTATACAAGATGACTTATTGTAACTTTGATGTTAATACCTTTCAAAATTCAAGAGATTCAAGATTTTTATTGTTTCATAAGCCATTGAGGGCTATTGTCCACTCATTAACAATACATATATACACAATCAAAATCACAATTTATATACCTTACAATTCTGATTTAGAATGCTTAATTTATCTCATTGGGGGAGAAAAGCATAGGGTCAATAGTTAGGCCGTTAGCAATTTTAATGGCAATGTGGAAAGAAAGATAAGAACCTTAATGAGCGACCTGAAAATGGAAGACATTGAGTGTGGAGGAAGTTTCTAAGAGAGATGGAACAATTACGGCGTAGAAGAGGTGGCGGCGGCAGGGCGGGCAAAGGGATAATGATAAACGATATTAATCATAATCAACAATTACTTTTTTTTTTTCAATTGCAAAAACATGACATTTGTTTTTCTTAATTCCACTCAATGAAAATTAATGTTATTTTTTCCTAATTATAACATCTTTATGTCTGAAATGACATGTAGCGTTCAACATAAGCAAAATTTTATTTAATTAAATAGAAACACCTTTAGTTCATAGACATCTTCCATACATCGCCATCAAGTAATATCAGACCTGTTCATTAGAGAAGCATCATAATGGTTTTCATTGTATAATTATTCCAGGGCCAGACAGGGCTTGGTTTTACAATCCTAGAAGATAAAGACGATGAAGGAAACTCACGGATATTTGTGAAAGATGTGACAGCCGGCGGATCGGCAGCACAGGTTGGTAAACAAATCCACAATTCAAGCACTGTCTTCTTTGTTAAAAGTTGTCTTTTTTTGTTGATTAATTGTTTATTTTCTTTAGTCCTTTGTGACATTTGTTTGCTATCCTATTCACTCCAGATATGATGAATTATACATATAAATTGTATCAGTTATGACCAGAAAGAGAGTGAGATAAAGAAAATTAAATGAGCCAAGGAAACTGGGTGACCACTGTTAATGAAAACTAAAAACTCTTAATCCATGTATCCGATTGGTCAATCATCTGTCTTGCACATGTGATGATAATTTTGCCGTCAGTCTAAATTTTCCAGATGGAAATACGTAAAGGAAGATGTGAAACTAGGAGTGAAGTGTGTCGGATTATATGCGTCAGAATTTGTCTCATTCCATTGGCTTACATTAATACCTGAAGAAATGACCACAAATTATGATGCGGCTCTATCAAGATGTCAAATAACCACTAAAGAACTGGATTCCAATGATTTATATTACTGATGATCTATTGCATGATATTATTATTAGCAGTAGCTTTAGCAATAATAGTATAGTTGCTGGGGTTGTTTATTGTTTATTATTAATATAATTATTTTTAAATTGTAGGCAAAAATATTTACATGAGTGTTGTGTTATTTTTTATTTATCATGTTAATAATTTTAAAACAATAATTAAAACTAATTCCTCCATGATTATATGTATTCGTTATTCATTCATTTTTGTCAACATTTTCTTGTCCCTTTACATCGACTCCGAATTGTCTGCTGTCAGTCATTTACTTAGTAAAGTTTAATTAACAGGGATACCTTTCACTGCGCATCACATTTAATTAGTCCCTATCCGATGATATCTAAGCCTCAATAAGTAATGAAATTATTACTCAAGATTAGAGTTTGCAACAGATAAATGATACTAGGCCCAGCTGATCCAAACTCATCAAGAAAATGAGCAAATAAAGCTCTCAGGGGGATCATTTGACTAGCCCTTAAAATCCTAAACGTTCTACACCACAGAAAACCACAGCTAGAGAAGTGAGGATGTTTATATTTTGTAGGATGAATGGATAAAGATTCATCATAGCTATGGTATTATTGTATCAATAGATTATCATTTTGTTTCATTTTAATTTGATACTGTATGCATCATGAGCATCTTTAATAGATATTGGTACATTGTAAATTATACATTTTTATTCTTGTTATTGCTTAATACATGTTTCCCCAAAATTAAAGACCACTTTCCATAGTCTGTAGCAGCTTTGATTCAAGCTAAGAAATATAACTATCATAATGATAAAAGAGAGGAATTTTTTTAGACAACAGGAAAGTGATTGAAGTAATAGAATAAAGACCTGTATTTTAAAAATTTTTACAAGCAAATAAAACTAGGGAAATGCATGTTGAAAATTCAGTGAATGATATAATGATTCCATAGAATCGCTACACAGTCGCTACAGCGTTTCCACCGTAATCCTTGCACTGCATAACTCTCCCCAACACAATTGGGAACGATCCCTGATTCAACCGACCAATCGGTTAGCAATTTTTATGGAAACCAGGCTTAGGACTTGGCAGCACACATACATTTATTATTTTTATATTTGTGTGTAGGATGGAAGACTCCGTTGTGGGGATCAGATCTTGGCAGTCAACAACCAGTCTCTGATAGGCTTGAGTAAGCTTAGTGCCATATCTGTACTGAAAAATACAAAAGGCAAGGTTGTATTAACAATCAATACAACCAATGCCAACCAACCAACAGCTCATCTAACAAAATCTACTACTGAATTCCAAGCAAAATCTGAAGTACCTAGTAAACATTTTGTAAAGGAGGTCATCATTCAACCGGAACAAAAGGCCAAAGAGAAGTCAAAACCTCCAACTCCAGAGGTATCAGGTAGGAATATCAGAATTTAATTAGGATTTAAAAATATCATGAAGATACGTCTTAAAAAATAATGATATTACTGTATTTTTATTGTTATGGTTGTCATTATCTTTATTGTTACCATTACCGTGTTGTTTAAGATTTGTTTTTGTTTGAAATCATCCTGTAGAATCTCTTCCTCCAGCCACCTTTGCTCCAATTAAGACTGAACCACAAGACCCATACACTTGTGAATTGGTGCCTGGACAGGAGACTACTATCATCATCCCAAAAGGAAGTACAGGACTTGGACTGAGCATTGTGGGTGGAAGTGATACACCCTTGGTAAGTCATTAACAAAGTAACCATCATAGGACCAAAATTAAAATATGCATTTATATGAATATATCTTAATATATATTATATTGTATCTTATATTGTAAACATAATCCTTTTTTATGCTTGCATATTCACTCCTTGTAAGACATGGTGCTTAAGGCCAATTCCTTAGTCCTACACTCAATTGACAATTTTTGATGTAACCAAAATCAATTTTGCTTCTCCAACATTATGAAGTGACTGTTAATGGCATCAAGACCCTAAATGATTAATTAATTTATTAATGTTGAAATATATTATGATTAAGAAAGTTTGGTGATGCATTAGTAAGTGATCATTATTTAAAGCCCTTGTTTCATAGTTGGAAACTTGCCATCTTCATTTGCAGTCTTTGGTCTTTTACCTAAATATATAATTTAAAAATCAAACCATATTTTAGTGTGTCTACCTGAACCGTAGATATTTGAATGAATAGAATTCTTGTTGACGTCTCTAGGGTGTCATCATGGTGCATGAGGTATATGAAGATGGTGCGGCAGCTAGAGATGGCCGACTGTGGTCCGGAGATCAGCTTATTAAGGTCAGCAAAATCTACAACAGCAATATGTATTTGTTAAACACAGTTTAACCTCTTGTAAGCGACCACCCTCAGGTCCAGGGCTTTTGTCAAGTGGTTGCTTAAGAGAGGTAGTAGTTAATGGGAGATGGTCGAACAGAGAGGGTTAACTGTATTACATTTTCCATCTTTGATGTTTTGAGAAGTTTAAATCTTTAAAATAGTAATAATAGGAACATTTAATTTCCAAATTTCAATATACCATCCTTTTTAAAATGTTTGTCAATTGTCCTCCCTCCCCCTGTTTTTAGGTAAATGGTATTGACCTTTCAACAGCAAAGCATGATGATGCTATTGCAGCATTAAGGCAGACCCCCTCTGAAGTGAAGCTGGTAGTTTTCAGGGATTCCAGTGCCGTGTTTAAAGAAGATGAATTACTTTATGATACTTTTACAGTTGAGTTGAACAAAAAACCTGGTCGAGGTCTAGGACTTAGCATCGTAGGAAAAGGGTATGTACATGATAGTGTAATAGTTGTTTATGGTATACAAACACATTTTGTCATCTAAACAAGTAGTACCATAAACATGATTGCATCAACAATCTATATGTTATATATTTTATTGTCTTCTCTTACAATAAACAGTAACGAATATGGAGTTTTTATCTCGGAGGTCGTCAAAGGAGGTACAGCAGACAACGATGGTCGCGTCATGAAAGGCGATCAGATCTTGTCCGTCAACGGAGAAGATCTGAGGAGCGCAACGCAAGATGTAGCTGCCTCTGTCTTGAAGGTAAATACAATAATAACATTAATAGTATCATTATTATTATTATTATTATTAATGTTATTATTATTATTATTATTAATAATAATAATAAGCTGATAGCGTAGTTGAATGTCAGGTATTGATGTGAATAGCCTTTTGTACTTGGGATTTAAAAGTTTTGACATTCATAGGAGGAAGATTGAAAATCCAGGTTAGTTAGACCCATGTCATTCAACACTTAACATAAATTTTTATAAAAAAAAACATTCTCTTTGCAACATCACTGATTGCTGTTAAAAATAAATTATTTATTAACATTTTTATCATATTTTCTCATCATCTCATGTTAGAACTAATTAGATAATGAAAAATGATTGATTGACATGTGTTTGATATCTTCAGATGTCACAAGGTAAAATCTCAATGGAAGTAGGCCGGTTGAAGGGTGGTTCGCGGAGCTCATCCAGACGACCGTCAATAAGCTCCCAACATATTCCGTCACCTGGCCTCAACATAGAGCAGCCACTAAATACAAACACATGTAAGTTACACTGCGATTTAACTGTTACACAATTCACAGGAGAGAAATATAATCTTGGAAACAAATGCAAATATGATTTTTATACAGCTCTAAAGTATATGCATGTGCATTTATATAGCTATGTATGTAAATATGAGATACAGAATAAATAATGCAACTGTTTATGAGGTACACTCCTATAATTAATATCCATCCAAACATTAAACACTTTTTCTTATGATGTGTGAGCCATTGACACAGCAGTTGCATTGTCTTGTGGTTTCCCATCCTTGTGTTAACGGGTTTGAATCCTTCACCGTGCATTTCATTTGTGTCTTTGGGTTATACCCCATTCAGACTAGCATCGCAACGCATTGTGATCGATTGTAGCAATTGCGGCACCCAATCGCAAAGTAAAATCATGTGTGAAAGCTCACCAATAGTAGTCGATAAGTAATCAATATCGCAATTGTTATCCGTTGCGATTGGGTGCTACAATTTTTTATTAATCCCGTTTACCATGGAATCTAATCGCAATGAATCACAACAAATTCACCTGCACTTTTTGGCTGATGTTAGCCAACAGAGGCCTAGCCACCAGAGGCCTAGACCGTGGAATGTGTTTGTGTGTATCCGGATCGGAATCATCTTGTATGGACGCACGGCAGCTAATGGTTAGCAGGATCCAGATCCTGCGAACCGTTTGCTGCTGTGTGAGAACATAGTCATTGAATAGTATGGATACCTGGTAGGATGTAGTAACACTTAATTTGTGAGAGATGCAGATCGATAAGGTATATACTCCCAAGGGGAGTTTGTCATATAGAGGTGCCAAACTTTGGAATAAAATTAGCGATGATGTTAAAAATGTTGAGAATTGTCCTTATTTAAAAAGTATATAATTGCGACATTGTAATAACACGTAACTACAATAACTACAATATTTTTTTGTTCGAGTTTGTTTAGTGTAATTAAGTTAGTTTAAGATTTAAGTCTAGTTTAGATATTTGCGTGTTTAAACAATAGTTTGATTTGTTTATTTTAAGTCATTTTTTTTTTTTTGATTTTCTGGTTAAATTGTTGTATACACGGCCTTGCAGAATAACAACTGTTAGTTGAGCCAAGTTTTAAATAAAGCTTATTATTATACTAGGACTACGCTTGTGCATTTGAGGCATGTTGTGGCAAAATGGCTAAGTTGTAGCAAAAATTTATATTCAAGTTATTGGTATTTTCAGATACCTGAGTATGTGATCTTTAAAGTGAGGGGTCATTCATTCAAATTGGACATTTCAAGCCTAAGTTATTGGAAAGTGAAAGTACAGCACTCTTTAGAGTCAAAATAAACATGATTTTGAGTAATTACCTTTCAAAGTTATTTGTGCATACACTGTTTAATAGAATGAACTACCAAAATAACGTTAAATAAACAATTTGTTGACCACTTCCAGAACTAATGCTTTAGGACATGATTAATTAGACATTAAACTGTTGATCTATAGTGAAAAACAAATTTGGATTTTTAGGCAATTTTTTGAGCTCCCATATTTTATAGCTCATTTACTCAATACTGGACTGTGCGACAACTTAACCATTTTAGGATCGAATGCGGTAGAGTTAATGCTAAATTGTGTTCTTATAATTCTATTCAACTTGTAACCAACTATCCCACAATGCATGTTTCATTACAGTGACCTTACCAAGTCAAGATTCAGCATTTTTGATGGACATGCGTAAAGTTGAGTTAATAAAGGAGCCAAATCGATCCCTTGGCCTCAGCATCGCTGGAGGTGTAGGAAGCCCTCTTGGAGATGTGCCCATCTTCATAGCTAATATCCAACCTGGTGGTATTGCAGACCATAATGGACTACTCAAGGTAACAATGATGTTTAAGATAAGTGCTCACAACAATGTTTTTTCTCCATAATGTTATTATTAATGATATTGATATGCCATTCATATTCATGAGAAAAATGTTTACTTGTTTAGTTTGATATTCCTGCAAAATCATATTCTTTTGTGAAATACATTCATGATATAATAATACATCATTATTGTAGTATATTTGTGGGGTAAACAAACTTTTTCCAGTCCAATTTGGCTTTAACGTAACGTAATTCCGACAAGGAGAATCCTTCACTTTGTAAATCAAAAATCAGATTGCCAAAACGACGATTTAGTAATAATAATAATAATAATAATAATACTGTATATTGATACTTCTGAAACCTATTAAATGCCTTATTCTATGATATTTTTATTAAAAATTTTACATTCTTTATTGTTACCAGTATTATGTCTGCACTACGAATACATTCCATCATGTCCAACAATTGCATAATAAACTGTACAGCTATGCTCCTTAGATATTATTGCTGAGGTAAATAAAAACGCATATTCCTTGGCACATTATTGAATAACACATTCTGATTGGTTAATTGTTAGTTCTGGTTAATATTCCAGAAAAGTCAATTATTTATTATTACTATAATTTATTTTAAAATTTATTTTAAAGGCTGGTGATCAGCTTTTAACGATTAACTCGAAAAGCCTTGAAGGTATGAACCACGCAGGGGTCGTCACACTACTTAAAGAAGCTACAGGTAGGATACTCCTCGAGGTAGTTCAACGACCTGATGTTAGTTCATTGGTATCAGAAGCCATCGAAGCAGATGCTAGCAGTGGATTCGTTGCTGCAACAGCAAGTTCTGTTAATATTCATGATTCCCAGAGTACGCAGTCACTGAATGAAGTAGGCGGGTGAGTTAACCATAATGAGACTGATCAGAAACAGTAAATTTGGTTTAAAGTTTTTTTCTATAGTGTAATGTATTTAGTTGGACTTTATATAGCGCATATACCGAAGTCTCAATGCGCTTAAAAGACATAAAAACTGGGCATAAAATCCAAACATCACTGCATCGTTTGCCCGCAATTTAAGACATTGACAAGCAATGGTTGGCCAGCACATAATTCACAGATGATCTCATGATGAAAGGCAACTATCTAGTCAAGCCTACAGTACAATACTCATAAAGCTAGAGCACAAGAACGAAAAAAAAAGAAACGAAACCCTAATATATCTTCCATGAAATTAAAAAAATATTTATTAATATTGTAATGTTTGCATTTATACAGATCTCGGTATCAAACGATAGAACTTGATAGAGGACCAGATGGACTGGGGTTTAGCATTGTAGGAGGACACAACAGTCCCCATGGCGACTTGCCAATTTATGTCAAGACTGTATTTAATAAAGGAGCAGCTGCAGAAAATGGCCTTCTTAAACGAGGCGACCAAATAATACAGGTCAACAACGAGTCCCTAGAAGGCGCCACCCACGAAGAAGCTGTCAACATCTTGAAGAATGCAAAAGGCAAAGTCGTTCTAACGATTGTTTCATAAACATTTATACCTTTTCTGCCACTAGAGGGTGCCAGTCATCACGAGTACTGCAACTAACAACACTAAGGCATTTTACATTTAAATGTTATGCATCATACTCTGTTTAATACATTTACACTTGGATAAATAATCTAATATGATAATCATGTAATATTTGTACAAGCTAGCTATTTTAGACATTTCTGTCATAAACCCTTACCATCATTTCCAAAGTTTGTATTCTTAATCTCGCCATCTGACATTCTGTTTGTTTTACACCAAATGGGCTGTTGAGCAGTAACAGATATTTTAAGGTATTCAGTGCATATATTATATTAAATAACAAATTTATAGTTTTAACCTGAAATAAGTGTAGAATTTGTTGCGCAGAGTTCTTGCCAAGATTTTTATCATTGAGCCAGTGGCTTGTTTAAATCTGAAATGAAAGGTGGTGCTCTGACTAGATTGCACATGGTTTTTCTGTGTTTGGTTGTCATGGGCGACATTGAAGCTATAGTGTGGACTAGTATGGTGAGAACAATTTGAGAGAATTTGGTAGAATTGTGCTTTACAAGTGAAATCAAATAAAGCAGGCTTAACAACCTCTTAAATATTATATTGAACTTTGTAGCTAGCAAATTTCAGGATTGTCAGGAGTATTTTTTTATTGTATAGGAGCTTTTGATTTCACGATGACAGCAAGATCTAGGACGTAATGACGTTAGAGTCAACTGCGCAAATGACAACGTTCAGTTCTCGTCTGATTTATAGGATGCGATTCGGGCCAAATGTTAGTTTTACTGAAGAAAGTACAGTTATGGATAAGCGTATCCATCCTATGGTAATGTCGTCTCACAAACGAAAGCTCCCTCTATTTTTAAATAGAATTCAATAGCTTGTGTATAAAATAACACCAATCTGGACTGTTCTATTACCAGTGTAGTGTTGCAAACACCAAGTTTGTTTCATGATATAGAGATAATGTACATGTAAATCATCACTCCATGTTACTATAAATATTATAATCACATTAACATTTTGAAATTGGTGAATTATAGGGGGAAGTATTGTAATACTTTGATAGTACAAGGTTGTGGATACAATTTCAAAGAATTAGGAATAGTAAGAATAGTTTAATATAATATCCATATTAGGTATTTCTTAATATAAATGTATGACAATGGAATAAAGTATACAATAATTAATAAAGCAGTAGTTTGGTGTCTGTAATTTATGGTTCACATATCTACCAATGAGTCTTCTGACATTCGTGGGTTATCCTTGTTGTTTACACCAAATAAATCCAATCCAACCCAAAAGCCACAAACACCTCCCAACTTCCAGCTATGCATTCGTATTCGTATGTTTGTGATACTGTGGTAATTACTGTTATGCATGTTTGCTGTTTGTGTGTACAGAGATATTTTCTTAAAATTATGACACAATATTGACACAAACACTTTGTGTAGCTTACTCCTAACATGATTTATTCATTGACTTAAGCATGAAGAGGCCAGTCTATTGGAATTGTAACAGTTTTCTCTGCTTTTTAAATATATAAAAAAATATTTTCTTATCAAATCCATCTTACAACAATGTATTTGAAATATACAGCCTTATACAACAAAACCAGCTATTTGGCTTAAGGCTAAAATATTGCACAATATCACGAGTACTCCATCTTCGTATAAAGTCACTTAGCTGAGAAGAAAAAGAAATTTTATTTTAATTCCAAAGATATAATTGTGCTTTGGGTACATAATATGTAAGGTGTTATCAGTTAAAATAGGTACAATCTTGTTCAGCTTTAGTATGAACAGCAAAAAATTAAAGATCTACCTATCAAGGATAAGCATCAACAACATGTTATTTTCATTGGGGGTGAGGGTGTAAGAGTAATAATTTTGATATACTGTACTCACTTTTAGCAGCCATAAGGGTGTTGCCATGACTACTAGATATTGAGGTCACTTCTATCTCATCATCTAGTAAATTGAGAGGTGAAGGAGTGAAGTTGTCACCATCTTTCCTACCAAGTCGTCCTCTTGATGCTTTTCCCCAAGAAAACACTTCACCATCTTAAAAAAAAAAAATTGTGCTGTTATTTAACAATGGGGGAATAGGAGGGTATTGACATTTCCCACATGAGACCAAGTGAATACACTTGCCTGTACTGACAGCAGTTGTGAACATGTCGCCACACGATATCAAGTGAATCCTCGTGTCGCCTGGTAGTTGCAATAAATGGGGCTGTCTTGTTGATGCCTTTTCACTCTTAAATCCAAGTTGACCAAATTGATTTGACCCCGACATGTAACACTCATCTTGATCTATAAATAAATTGTGATAAAAAATGTTATATTGTATAAATATTGTGTAACAAAATACTATATTTTTGGGTATGTATATAATGGAATTTATATAGCGCATAATACAAAGGTCCTTTTGCGCTGAATGTTTTATGTTTACACATGAAAAGGAATGGACGCAAGACTGACCTGTGATGACGGCTGCATGTGATGTACCTAATGCAACATGTCTGACTTCTAATTGGTTGAGAGGATACGTGGCTGCTTGCGTGAACACATGCACGTCCTCAACCTGCTGCGTGCAGTTGCCATCAGAGCTTACAGTATCAAGGTGCAACTTGTTGAACCTAAGAGTCATTTACAACCAATTTTTTTTCTTTTTTAATTTTCATGCAAAATTATTTTGCTACATATGTGTATATAAAAGCTGCATTTATTTTTCAGTAAATTATGTTAAAGGAAACTTGGTAATAATGTTTATCCAGGTAAGTATTTCACTCACAGTATACTCAAGCCCTGCCCAGACTATCAAATTTTGATTGACAAAAACATGTAACATGTCTAAATATGGTCATGATGACATCACAACATGACCATATAATAGGCACATCATGAATATAAATTTCCATACACCAGTTCTTTGTCTGGACAGCTCACTTCCTCTCCCATATTTTACACTCGTCAAGAAACTCTCTTTAAATATTGCCCTTGCTACAAACAGAAGATATAAAGTTATCACCTGTTACTGCCACAAGCTAAGAGTTGTTTGTTTGTGGTTAGCAAAGCTGAGCAGTCAACTCCACAGTGAATTGATGATGCTTGGTAACAATCCTCCAGAGGAACAGGTTGGGGTGAAGAGGTCGAGTCTGCATTTCCCAGTCCCAGACGACCTGAAACAAAAAACAAATTACAGTATAGTCAATATCTTATATCTCAGATCTTATATCAGATCTTTGTCAGATAAATGAGCAAAACTAGTAAAAAACTCAAAAACAATATTTTAGGCCAACATTATTGTTTCTCAATGTCAACTTTGTCCAGGTTTCATGATGTCAATATGTCACTTACCATTGTCACCTCGGCCCCAAGCAAATACTTCATGCTCATTGGTTACTGCCATGACATGTGATGCTCCACAAGACACCATGATGATCTCATAACCAAGTAATGCTTCAACAATTTTAGCTTGTGTGACATCGTGGTAGTTACCATGCCCGAGACAGCCATGGGCACCACTGCCATAAGTCATCAGAATTCCACGATCTGCGCAAGGTCATTATTGTCATCATTTTACAATGTGTCATTTAAGCAACCAACATCCATGGAATTGTACATATTATATATAACTATAATTACAGTATAGTAATTTTATACTCTCAAAATAACTTGCAATCCAACAATCAATCGGTTGGTCAATCTATTAAACATAGTCTATATACGCATGATCAACTGCAAATGACCAAACGACTCACCTGTTAAACAAGCAGTGAATAAATCACCACATGAAACATGCTTAATAGTGACTGCTGACTGACCCTCAAGGAACCGAGGAATAAAAGACGGCATTTCAGGGTCCATAGCTCCTGGCAACATGCTTTCAGCCCCAACAACAGGACTCTGCACGTAAAAAAATGCTCAAGTTTTGTTAATTCTAATTACAAATGTAACAGGAAATAATTTAGTAAATAGGGTGTTTGCATAATAAAATTACGTAATATTTTAATATGATTGTACTGTCATAATCATCGTAATTGGCACTACAGCATGAAGGCCTCCCCATGACATCATATCTATTTTTAGCTAATCCTTGTTCAGCTTATATCATTGACTGGATGATTGAGACATCTTAACCTTTGACCTTCTTAGACATTGATTTTATGACCTTATATAGTATAAAAACCCAGTGCTGTTCGTTTGTGTAAAAGTGTTTTGTCATATTGTGAATGAGACTTGTGAAGTTGCATCATATTGGGAATGTACAGATGGACATAAACATAAATTCAAAGTCCTTTACCTCCCACAATAAGAGCCGTCCATTTTTGGTAACTGCCGCCCTCTGGTTTCGTCCTGTTGACACTTGCATGACTTGCGTATCATTGTGGGGCAAAGGTAGCTTTATTGGTGGACTGATATTGTTTCCCCAGCAGAAGATAGTGGATAGTGCTGTGGGTTTTGGAAGACCCCCGGATCCATCCAAAATAACATTTTTGGACATGCCTACGAAAAAAGAAACCACATGCATTGCAATTAAAATAGAAATATTATGAACAGATTAGGAATAGAAAGAAACAGATTAGAAAAACTATACAGTAAACAGAAAAAAAATAACAATTAGCAAAAATATCCTTACTCCTGTGTGATGCCCTACTGTTCGATCTTCCATCAATTATACGAGGGGTCAATGGTGGTAAAGGAGGAAGTCTGAAACAGAACAAAATCATATATACAATTGAAATTTTATGAAATAAGATATATAGTATTGTCTATAATTGTATTGTCCCCATTGGCATTCAAACCAAATACTTTCTGATTACTATTGGCTTGCTCTACAGTTTAGTTGCTCTTAGAAAAAAGAGAGTAGCAATACCTGTGTGCTTAAACTGACTTACTTTTTCTCACACTTAACTCTTCCAATTTCCGAGTGCAAATTAAAAAGTGAATTAATGATGATAGGTTCTGCCATCACTTGGGTGATCGTAGGTCGCTTCTCAGGGGTCAGATGCAACATGCGAAGAATAAGCTGATGCAGATCCTTGCTGTACTTATCAGACACTGGTGCAACAGCGCCTCGCATTATTTTAAGTACTAATGCTGGTAAATTCTTGAACGAAAAAAAAAAAATTGAATAATTCAAAAAAATGTAAAGGACTGAAACATTACTACATCTCCAGAGCAGATCATCCCCATGTCCAGAACAGAAATCCATTTGAAAAAACAAACATGACAAAAATGTAGTAACAAATTGAATTAAATGAAAAATGATGAGTGGAAAGCATATGCAAATAAACAATGAATATTTATGATCTTGTATATGCATGATAACTCACAGGTCCCTCAAAGGCACGTTTCAAGGTTGCTAACTCATACAGTACACAGCCAAGAGCCCATATATCACTCTTTTGGTTATAACTAAAGACCGTCAAGGAAGGTAAGGAAAGCTTTTAAAGTAACACCAATTCATCAAAATACCACTATCATTATTTCAAACAACCACTTCCTACTACAAACACCCTCTGCCCCCTCCCTACCCACTTCAGTTTTAAGGACTGAAATCCTTGTCAATTATCAATCAACTGCACCATCATGTGAAAAACTACTGACTCAGAATGGAGTAAAATTTCAGGCATTTCATCCCATCAAAACCACAAAGTTTATTTTATACCGTAGTCAATGAAGTTTAGAAAAGGATACGGTTTGCCTTCACATAGCTCTGGTGATATATAACAAGGCGTCCCAACCACAGTCTGGGCTTTGCTTTTGGTATTAAGTATCTTTGAAATACCAAAATCACCAATCTTTACAATGTCTCTTTGTTTCGTGAGCAATATATTTTGAGTCTTTAGATCCCGGTGAAGAATTTGCTTAGAATGGATGTGGTGGAGTGATAATAAAATCTGTGCAAAGAAATGAAGTATCTCCTACAAAAGAAAAAAATAATAGATTTTATGACTGTTAATAAACAAATATCTGATATACTTGTATTTTAAATTATTATTAATGGTGTTTAAATGCTTAATTGAAGATTAATTGATTTTAAGCATAACTGTATGTTTTATTGAATTATTTTTTAAGATTTGTCTTATTTATGTATACACATGTCATTTTAAATCTGTAGTTTTATAGTTTCATTCTGAATGATGAGATGCCACTGATTCAAAAGTGTAGATTTGAGCACCTTGAGCACCTTTGGTGGAGATGTGCACTTTATAAATCTTTATTATTATTATTATTATTATTAGATTTCCAATAAAGTTATTTATTATTTATACGTAGACTTTACAGATGCATTTTTATAATATAATTAAATAAAGTTAACTAAATGTGTTAACTTTACATGTTCTTCCAGTAATGTATTGCCTTGTTGTTGCAAATATTCACACAATGTGCCTCCTGAAATGAAAATAATACACATAATAATAATAATAACTAGAAATTGCAAATTGCAAGTGAAGTGCTGCGAAGTACAACTGCATATAAATGTTCTTCGAACAAAATTATTTATGCGAATCAAGTGAAAATAATGAATAATAAAACTATAACAAATAATATGAGACACGACCCATTTGTCTATATTAGAACACTTCTCATTGGGTAACAAAGTCGTAATTTTTCATTTTTGTCAAAAAGTGTCTATAGTGTGGTGAATTATGGTTTAGGTTTTATTTTAATAAAGTTTCAAAAATGTCTATGTATGTGGAAAATGTAGTTGATTACCAAAGGTTACAATTTTTATTTTGAAGACTGCATGGTCTAGGAAGTGTACATTTTTTTATGGGGAAAGTTTCCAAGTCGGGTTTTCTAGGGGCGCGTTGACTGCCAAAGGGTGTTGCCAAAATGCGAGTGCTGAGATTTGTGGAATACAATTAAAAAAACAACTATAGGTCTAATAATGAATTATTGTGATGTTAATAGACAATGTTAGCTATCAAAGAGCGACGTTGTTTTTCATTGGGACATTCGTCCCTTCAAGGCTAGGCCTATACCATCCTAGCTAGTCTAGGCCTAGTGTAGGATAAGGCTAGCGCGACATGCGGACGTTGGTACGAGTAGGTTAGTCTACAAACGTCGCCTAAAGTAATTGATTTTATGTGGCAGAACGAAAGAAGGAAACTCCGCTTTTCAGTCGTCTTGGGCACTCGTTTTTTGACAAACAATGACCTTTCAGAGGTCAAATTGCTGTCAAGAATATGAATTGGCTGCTTCGCAGCAATAACAAAGCATCAAGCAGGTAGTTCTGCTTTCACCATGTACATTGGAGTTAGTATTGTGATTAGGGGCAGGGGTCAATACTGTGGGGGTATTGTAGAGTACCTTCTGCATACTCCATGACAATCATTAATGCAGTGCCCTCCAAGTAGTTTTCATAATACTCAATGATGTTGGGATGGTCTAGCATTGACAACACTTTTACTTCATTTAATGCAGCTTGTCGTTCCTCTCTAGTCATCTGCTCAACTGGAATTTGCTTGACAATCACAAGCTTCTTGTCTGTCAAGCGACGACAAAGATGCACAGTGCTGTAAATTTTAAGAAATATAACAAAAATAAATGTGGATTGATTGTGGCGCTCCAAATATGTGATGTTATTGATTGATTGAATTTATTTGATATTCAACATGCACAAACAATATAAAAATGATTTGTGAACAAAAAAAAGTAAAAATGAATGAGCATCACGAACACCCATATTTAAATAGTGTCTACAATTGCACATTAAAAAATTACATTTAAAATCATTAATATTTAAAATTTAAAAATAGATATACAAATACAATATACAAATAAAGCCACCATAAAAAATATAGATATTGAATTGCACATAATTAAAATTCTAAAAAACTTTTAAATGTTTCAAAAACAATAAAAAATGTACAAAATTAAAAAATGGCACCCAGAGAATGTGAATTTAAAAAGTGTTAAAAAAGAAAAATTGCAACCTAGGTTAGGGAGAGAGAGGGGATAGGGATAAGCTGAAGTGTAGTCTAGTGAGGGTATGTATAATTATTATGTATAATAATAAGAACTCATTACTGTATGCCTATGTAAATATCTTTTAATTACTTTTAATTTGTACAGTACTTAATATATCTGCACCGGGGGAGGGGAAGTGAGGGGGTGTATTGGGTGATATAGTAGAAGTTAAGGGTTGTATAAGTGCAAACACTACACAAAATCAGTGAAAATAATAATAGGCCTAGAGATATATTAGAAATAAAGTTTTAATTGTTATATAATTTTAGTTTTGTTCTATAAATGTCAAAAGGTCACATTGTTTGCACATAATCCCTATACCATATTTCCAGAAAAATAAAATATTTAAAAAAATCATAGAAAAAAAAAGGGAAATATAGACTATTCCTCATAGGAGATTACCATTTTCTCTACAACTTCATTATTAGGCAAATTCAGAGGTTGTAGATTGCATCCGCTGGAATGCTCTCGCTTTTATGTATGCTTTATATAGTCAATAAAATGCGCCCTCTCTAATGAGCTTAGTTTTTGTACTTCTCATCTCGCACTCTGCTGTCGATCGAGTAGGCCTGAGATATGTTTGTTTAAGTCTCAAAATCTCGGTCAGAATCAGTTTTTTAACAAATTTGAAATAATTCCTATGAAATATTATATTTCACAAGTGTCAATACTAGCAACGGAAAATATCATGTGGGGCCATTTTTATGTGTGATAACATAACCTAAATCAAGGTAAGGCTAGGCGTAGCCTAGCAGTGTTGGATAGGCTAATGTTTTCGGCGCCTACGATATTTCTTCTCACGACCTATCGCAAAATCAAACATGAAAAATTCATCCGCATTTATTTTTTGTGAAAACAAA